ATGTGCTAGCTAGAAGATAACTCTATAGAAGGACCTTCTATACATTATAATATTTTCTAGAGTAGGAGTACTAGTAAGACTTTATCTAAAGGTTTGGTTCTTTTAATTTAAAGTAGTAGAATATATTAGACAAGAGTGTGTCTATATAGGGGAGCTCTAAACAGAAAAGTAAAGTGTATTACTTATACAGACTATTACTTAACTTAGAGAGCTAATCCTGTAAAGTAAGCTGTTAGATTTTTGTATGTACTACTAAGATAATGTTTAGAGAGGGAGAGTTAACTTGTAATACTTGTAAAGATAGAATCTAGTAGGATACAGGTAGGAGCTAGTAGTTTAGAGTAGAGTAAATAGTTTATACATAATAATAAGAGACTGTAATTCTATTTACAAGTAAGAACAGTAGGCCTAGGATGATTAGTAAACATAGAAAGGAGGCAACTACTACTCTAATAGTATAGGATTTCCAGGTGTAATTAACAGATGTAGGGGAGAGTTTAATGTATTTATATAAGGTTTGTAAAGAATTAGAAGAAGAATTTAATAGAGTAAGGGAGATATAAATAGGGCTAGAGAGACAGAGACAGGGTAATCTAAGGTTGTATACAAGTACTTTATTAATAATTACTAGAGAAGAGTTATTGTTAATAAGAGTACAGACAGACAAGGGTTTTAGTGTTGTAAGACTGTTTAGTAGACACTCCTAATAGATTTAAGAGGGGTTTATAAACACATACTTGTCTGAGTTATTAATATAGACAGTTGAGAGTATTTCTACCCTAAGAGTAGCTACTACTATATCTTCTTCTTAATTGGACAATAATGAACTTGTAATAGTGAGTGGCTCAAGTTGTAATAAAACATGTATATAGTTAGGAAGTTGATTAAGCTAGAGATTAGTTACAATTGATACAACTAGTACAGACTTGACACAGTTCAAAGATGGTAGAGAGGGTATGTACTTTAGATGTAGACAGATTCCCTCTACTTTAGTAATAGACATGCTTCAAATGTTGTTTTATATATGTTAATCATCTTACAAAGGACTGTCAGATCCTATATTTAAGAATAAATTGAGTATGAATTTCTCTATAGTTGAGAGTTTCTCAATTTTCAGGCTTACTTTGTTCTCTTAAGTCTGAGAAATTGTATTAAAAGTCCTTAAGGGACTAGAGAAAGAGGGAGCTAACTGTATAGTATAACTACTCTTATAGTTACAGATTGTATCTATAATAAGCTTATAGTAGTTGTGTACACAGTTTTTAGTCTTATAAACAGTAGTAAGCTAGTCTTAGAAGTTAGTAATACCTTAAATTCTTTAGAGTACACTTGTTTAAGGTTAATATTTAGACAGGCACTTATAAGAAAGCAGATCTTCTAGTAAGAGAGGATAGTAGGACTTCTACTAAGGAGATAGTTTTGGCTAAGAATCTTAAAATAGAATTTGTTAGTATGTTTTCTGTCCTACTTAAGATTTTTAATTTCATCACACAGCTTAAGGTCCTAATTATACTTAAGAACAATTCCCTTAAGGTTGATAATAAACTCTTTAAACTCTATAGTCTTAATCCAGCCAGGTTAGACTGTGTACCAACTACAGACTTTAATAGGCTCAAGACTATATATAATAAGGCAGACTTACTCATTGTTAGAAATATTTTTGTGTATAAAGAAGGTAGTACATTTGTAGACATATTTACTAAGGAGCTTTAAGGTCATTTGACTGTCTGTTATAGTAGGGGCAGAGTTAGACTTATAACTACTAATTTAGACTAGAGGACAGAGTATGTTAGTATAAATAAGTGGCTAGTAACTAGTAGTAAGTCAAGTACAGGTAGTAGGTAGTAAGTAGTAGGTCTAGGTAGTAAGTAGTAGGTCTAGGTAGTAAGTAGTAGGTACAAGTAATGAGTAGTAAGTAGCAGGTTGACAGTAGGAGGAGCTAGTAAGTCTTTATAACAGTTTGTAGGCTAGACAATTGTAACATTCAAAAAAAAGTAGAGACAATGTCTCACTCAGGTTGTAGAACAGGCAATTGACTAGTATTGAAGGAGGTACAAGAAGAGATACAGTCTCAGGAATGTCTTAGAGCTATTTATAAGATAAGTCATATAATAAGGCTAACAGATTGTGTATAACCTCTACAAGGTTACATTGTTCTAGTGGATCCACAACAAAAAGCATTTTCTACACATTTGTCCTCTTTTATGTATCTATAACTCTGTACCTCTGTAGTTGTATTATTAGTTTTTGTAATACATATAATATTTGTTCTACTTAAATATATTGTTCTGTATTTCTCCTATTATTTATGTGTTTCCTTAGTATATTGTATACAGAGTCCTTAACTATTGTTTCCTCTAATCACAGCTCAGCTAGAGCTTTAGAAGCAAAGTGAACACACTTAACATATTTCACAATTTACTGTAATACAAGCATTTTATTATCTTTATCTTGTTTCTAGGTCTAGAAACAGTAAATACATTGTACAAAGAGGAGCAAAGCTCCTGGTGCAAGTAATTGATAGCAAGCATATTGCTCTGATTTTAAATACTACAACTATTGGAGCATCAACTGGTAAAGATTGTGCCTATTTACATGTGCCTGCATGTCTATACTAGGTAATAAAAACACAACCCCAGCAATACAAAGAGTAAAATGAATGAATAGGGGAAAGATGCTATAGCTCAACGTGCCATAAGCTGGTATAGAAATCCAACCAAAGTTGCGATCTTAATTGGCAAGATTGGTTTGAGGTCTATGGGTGTCTCTAACAACAAATCCGTTCCCTCCGAAACTAGTGAAAAAACTCGACGATCTCCGATGCATCCCTCCGTCTGCACGTGGAGTGTAATTCGACAAAGCAGTATGCCAGATGTCTGTATTTCCCTTCGCGTGTTGGACAACAGCATAACGGACTGTGAAGATTGTTGCCAGGAATACTGAAATTAGGTGGCACCAATAATGAGCACGGTAGGATAAATAATAGTATGTGTGAAATGAAGCATACGGATGGCCCATTCAATCCATACGAAAGCTTTCAACGCCTGTAGATCACGGCACCATTCCTTTTCTGCAGCAAAGCCGTCGGGGATGTTGTTGCACGCTACAGGAACGAATCTCCAGCGAGACGTCGAGAACACATTGGATGCTAGACTTACATGTCAAGAACAGAAGCAAAGAAAAAGGGGTCTCGACGCACCGAGCCATATGATGGTGAGAATAGACAGTATGGCGATTTCAAACGGTGGACGAGACGTGATCGGGTTGCGCCTTGTCAGGTCAAGAATGAACCTGAACAATAGGAAATAGATTAGACCCAGCCTGTTGGTTGTTGCACTCTCGAAGAAACATACATAATAGAAAGTAGAACCAATGTCGCAATAGATAATCCTAATGGAAACAAGTCGGCCATGACTAAATGGGATGTTCTGATTAGCGACAGAGTCGAGTACATTTGCTATTCTTGTTGAACGTACAAAAGAAATTCAGGAACTGGTTGACGCGCGCAGAAAGCGCAAGGACGACAATGTTCGCAACGTAAAGCGTGCCTACAAAGACCATATGGAACATGCTCGTGAAGGAATACACATCCAAAAATTGTCAAATTTACATACCGAGTACCTTCAACCGGGTCTTTCCTATTCCCGAATACACCATGGTATTTGCAAATTTGCTGCTGACTTGAAGGAGAGAAGTAAAAGAAAAAAGCAGCACCCGGCTGCGGCTCGACGGCCTACTGAAAGGGATGATGGTGGTTTTGGGTAAAGGTTCGTACAGCAGACCAGCGAGGATAGCAACCGATAGATGGCATTATTTGAAATCATCTCAGGCCCAGCGTGTGATCAATAATAATTAAATAAATAGACCAGGGATTGGCGTGATCGTCACCTTCGATACTTTCGCATCACGTGAGAAAGAACCCTTGTTGGCAACGACATGTTCAACTGCAACAGACTCAACAATCAACACGAGTTACAATATTTCCTTCCCAATGTCTCTTTCTCTCGCTCCTGCTTTTGTCGGACCACAATGGCACAGATGACTTGTTCGAGAATGTCTGATCTGTATGCTAGAGTTGCGCGGTCCTCGTACATGCACGAATCGTGTTCCCATCCATCGAATGGGTGTGAAGATTCAGGAACATGAGCTCTTGGTCCGGTCTTCTTGAACGGCGATTAAGGCCTTGCGGCGCGTTGGGATGGGTAAATCATTTGATATGCAGGCTTATTCTTACCTTGTGCTTTGTGCGGTGAGGGCGGACAGCCCTCAATTGAAGAAGCGCGAAGCGACGTTTCATAGTGGTCCTGATGTCGATACCAGTGCTTTGGTCATGGCTTGCGAAATATGCAAGAAAGCGACGTGGAAATGGACAAAGAAGCCATGCATATCGTGGAATGGACTCTGGGGATAGAAGTTTTATTACTTGACCGATGGGAGTGGTAGGAGGAAGCAGAAAATCAGACGGTGTGTGAATCCCTTCTGGAAATGAGAGCTTTGATACCGGATTACGAGTGGCTCCATTCGTCACTGAGTGCAGGTTGGCAAGCTCATCGCGCCTGTCAAGCCAAATTTATATCTCTATACAGGAATCCATAAACGCATCTGGGCTTTCTGTTCGCCCTGACCACTGTCTCTCACATCAAACGGAGCAGGGCGCGTCGATTGAGACAGTGGGCGACACAGACTACATAGTATGCGTTTAAAAATAAGTGGGTATCACTCAAGTCCAGCCGGAATAATATTCCGAGAGTGGGATCTCACTTCTGCGAAGGGCCAGTCCTGCCATATGAGTCGACCACGACTGTCGCAACTCCCACCCTGAGGCGGCTCCGAGCTAGCGGGTTGCTATTCTTAGAGCTTGTGCCTGTCGTTCTTTCGCTAGCAACGGTTTTCCACACAGTGCCCCGCCCAGTGGTATACGGTCCCGTTATTCTCGTCTTCTTCCCACGTCGGCGTCCTTTACTAATACCGTCGACTTTATGGTTCCTCCCCCGTCTTGTTATGCCCGCTTGACATGGGAAAATCCTGGGCTCGTTATGCTGTGGCCTCAAAGATAATACCAATGATCAATATACGTCTGATCTATTTTGGTTCTCGTGACGATCCATATGGCGATCCTAATGACGCGTCGATCGGGCTTGTTCCAGAATTTGCACGCAGGATGTACTTACCCGCACTGAACAAGGGCTGCTCAACTCGTCACTGAAGATGCCGCACTTAACATGGCAAAAAGCAGTAACCGGACTTGTCGGGACACATTACCGGCATTGGTCTATTGCACTTGACTCCAGTTCTAAGAATGTTTTCGAATCCCTTGCACCGCATTCTCTATGTTGGCTTCGCGTCTATACATCAAGTATTTGACCGTTCCACTGGAACAAAGGTATAGATGGCCCTGGCGTTGAGCGCACTTGTCTCCTCCCACGTCCATTGTGTTGCATCATCCATCCTTACTCACTCATCTGATGAATGCAAGGCCATGTAGACTCATCCAATCATCGACGACATGTTTCATTCGTCCTGCAGGTATAAAGAGCGATGCAGACCAACTATTTCGACAGAGACAACAACAGTACTCTTAGCTATCCTGATCTCTTTGTACAATGTCTTTCAAGGCCCTCTTTGCCATCGCCTCCCTTGCTGCGAGTCTCTCTGGCTCCTCTGCAGCACTCACTCGTCGTGTTACTTGCCCTGATGGCGTTAACACTGCTACAAATGCTGCCTGTTGTCCTTTCTTTGCTCTTCGCGATGACCTTCAAACCAATCTGTTCGAGAATGAATGTGGTGAAGAGGTCCGCGGAATGCTTCGTCTGGTTTTCCACGACGGGATTGCATTCTCGCCAACTCTTGGTGGTGGCGGAGCTGACGGCTCGATCCTCACGTTTTCTGACACAGAACTGACGTTCGCCGCCAACGGTGGTAACGGCGGTGTCGAGGATTTCGTCGACGCATTGAAACCTTTCCTTGCGAAGCACAATGTCTCCGCTGGTGACTTGGTTCACTTCGCTGGTGCGTTCGGCATCACCAATTGCGAAGGCACTCCCCAAGTTCAGTTCCTCGCGGGTCGTCCAAACGCCACTGCAGCAGCTCCTGATGGACTCGTTTCTCAACCAGGAGGTAATTTGTTCATCTGTTCATCTAGGTCCAGCTTGATCAACATAGTGACAGTGGTATCTTTTTTCTAGACTCTGTTGATACTATCATCGCTCGCTTCGCCGACGCTGGCTTCAGTTCGGACGAACTTGTTGCCTTGCTCGCATCCCACTCACTCGCCGCGGCCGATACACTCACAGGTACTGTTCAAGGTGAACCATTCGACAGCACTGCGCATATTTTCGATAGTCAGTTCTTCATCGAGACACGTTTGCACTCCGCGATTCCTGGAGAGGCTCGCCTTCCATCCGATGCGGCTATCGCCCGTGACGACCGTACTTCGTGCACGTGGCAGAGCTTCATTGACGACGAAAATTCGATGCGTAGCGCTTTTGGCGCCGCCATGGCTAAGCTTGCTGTTGTTGGCCAGGACGTTTCTCAGCTCGTTGACTGCTCAGAACTCATTCCTCGTAAATTACTCTCCTTTGCTGTATTGCCTTTTGATACTTGTGACTAAGGATAAATTTTCAAGAACCTCCGGCGCACAACCCTGACCCGTTCTTCCCTGGAACGTCAACCCTCTCCGATGTCGATGCAGCGTGCACTCAAACACCTTTCCCGACTCTTACGCAGAACACGGCTGTCACATCAGTCACTCCCGTGTAAGTTATCATCTTGATTGGCAGTCGAAAAATTATTGATTTTTCGTGGCATAGTAATGAGTTCTGAGAATTAAATAACTGATTGGTGTATGGGTCGTAATGTAGAGTTAATATTTGGTGTCTGATTTTGGGCTTCTGGGTGTCTGTTGTCGTAACATTATGTGTTTTTTATACTGCTCCGCCTGTGGTGATAGGAAAACGATACATAATTGTATCTTGATGTGTTATGTGAATGTACTTGAATGTTACTAAAGATTGACGGCAAAATTGAAAGGAACATTTGCTTCATTAGTGTAAGGAAACTCACTGTTCCTCACAAGAGAATTCTAATTGCCCTTAGTTCACTCAACTACTGACTGGGATAACCTAGTACTTGAGCAAGGGGTCAGGGGAAAAGAATCCCCTTTACCCAGCAGTCAATACTGTCTTTTATAAGGGTATACATGTGTAGATACATGAGGAGGAAGTGTAACTAACTACAATGAGAATATATACACTTGTGGGTCCTACTGTGCAATGATCTGACATGATCAGCAATGTAGTGATAATAAAATACAAACCAGTAAATCAAATCCTTACACTTGCCCTCTAGCATTTAGTCCTAAATACTAAAAATTAGTAGAAAAGGTAGTGAACTTACTTAAAGTAACAGTTAGTAACAAGTAAATAATAAAATACCTTGCCCATACATATGGGAAACATTGTTGTAATGTAGTACTGCCTCTCTGAAGTGATCTGAAGTTGATCTGGTGTGTATTAAGATGTTGGTGGTGTTCTGGACAGTGAGTAGCATGGTTCCAAACTATGTGAAACTAGATAAAACATTAATAGAATTAAATGTAGTCAATATTACTGTATAGTCAATTAGTAGAAAAGTTTCCTCTTGATTGTCACTATTAATACAACACTTTTCAAAGAGAATCAGTAGAGTTCCTGGGGAGATATAGTGTTTTGGCTCTTGAGTATTCTGAGACACACAGTATAGATTAATATGTATAGAAGTGGAAATTCTAGTAGTGTAGTAATTACAAATATTCTCTTCTCCCACATCTTTAGGAAGTGTAGAGGTAAATTCCTGATTGACAAAGCTATAGCCTTCTTCCTTAATAGAATGTATTAGCATTATAGCTTCTAGCTGACCTTGTGTGTTTCTCTACTCCTGTAGGATAGTCATACAATAATAGATAGTAGAGATGTATTCTAAAATTCCTCTACTATGTCCTCAATTTTTCTAATAGACTAGTTCCTACAAATGTAATGCTTTGTACTTGTATTAGTCCAAATGTGTACTCTTTTACTTGTAATAACTAACTGTGATACAAAACTGGATATCCTGTTAAGCCTAATGTCCAAATACTAATTGTAGAGTACAACTTAGAGTATAATATTTGTCCTTGAATGAAAATATCATCTTGATTTCAATGAGATTGTAATGTATGAGCCTAATATTACTAGATATGTGTGTATATGTATAGTATCTCTGTGTACAATGAATGTCCTACTGTATTCTCATACTGTCTCCTTGTGTCTTGACTCATTTGTATCTTTATAAGTTGATTGATTTGATTCCTGAATTGTCTAAATATACTTTCAATGTCTTATAGTACAATATTCTATCACAAAATGTCTAAGTAGTGTTCTCTACTTTCCTGAGTACTGTAACTGTCTGTATACTGTGTTGTTCTATGTCTGTCTTAATGAAAAGTCCTGTCTGTATGTACAGTAGTGCTGCCTGAAGTCCTGAGTGTATGCTACTAATTCCCTGTTCATTTAGCAAATTCATGTGTGGATCAATGTGTTCTAGTATTGACTTCCTGTCTTTCTGTGTCCTTGTCCTTGTTCTAATGTATTCTTTCCTTGTGTACCTGTTGTGTGTCCTGTTTCCTATAGTACTGATACTGTCTGGTACTGTAAAGTCCTTTGTAAAATCATCTCATAGTATCTTAAGTAAGAAAAATGTGTGTTCAAACATGATTGTATACTTAAAGAGTGTGTATACAATACAATGTGTGTGCCTCTTGCCCTCTCATCAAAATATGACTTTATTTTCAGTGTAAAATGTCTGGTACTGTTCTAGAACATATCTGTATTGTCTGGAGAGGTTCTCTGTATGATTTTGTACTTCAAACTGATTGTAGCTATTCATTCTTAGAGTAGATTAAACTGTATCATTGTTTAATAGATGTTCTAGAGCTTCCTAATACTCTATTTCCTTCTGTATTGTTAAAGTATTATTCCTGAATACTTGAATAGTCTGTTCAATCATTCCTAATTCACTATTACTCTGATATTTGCTGACTGTATGTGTATTGCCTTCACTTTCCCTTAAAGTAGTGTGATAATCTGTTTGAGCAGATTGAGCAGATTGAGTAGATTGTTTAGGTTTCAAACCTGTTCTCTAGCTTGAAGTTGCCCTCTAAACTTCTGAACTTTGTTCCATACAAAGCATATCCATTCCTGGTCTCAGTAGTGTCTTACTATCATTATATTACATAGATTGTAGTGGTTTTACATCCTGTAGGTTGTAATTGTCATCCTGTAGCTTGAATAACACAATTCTTACTATGTATCCTAAGTATATGTGTACTAGCACATTCATTTGAGTGCCTGTAATACTTATACTACATCTAATAAAGTATCCTGAGTTTATTCTAATGAATCCTGACTGTCTGAAAGTGTATTTCACAATGTAATACCTTATGTTCTCCTGAAACTGTGTTCTGTACAATATATCCTTGTAGTCTAAGCTGGTTCTGACATTTCTGAACAATTCTTTATTATGAACTGAATAGTTTTGTAGCATAACATTCAATTGTACCTTATAGAACATTGTTCTATACAAATTACTTTGATTGTGCTCATTATAGACTGTTTCTTCAATTCTAAAGATGGAAATGTCTGTTCTAATGTCAACTGACATAGTTCCTTTGTAGTACTCAATACTAATCCTGTATCTCTCCCTGTACTGAATAGAATCAACTGTGTATGTGTATGTCTGTGTCTTTCTATTACTGTTAATATATTTCTATGCCTAATACTTATTCTGAAGTAGTATCATCTTATCCTTAATGTATATACACTTTTCCTTACTTAATGTACTAATGTCTGTCTTCTAATACATGATGTAGCCTTCTAACTTAATAGAATACCTGTGTGAATTGTTTGGATTGAAATATTTCTCAGTATCTAAGAGTAGTTGTATTTTATAGTCTAGTAATGCTTGATAGATTGTCCTACTTATGTAGTTTACTACTTGCATTGTCTTGTAAACCATAATACTATCTGGCTAGTTATATTCCAATCTTCTAACATTCTCAGGTCCTTTCCTAATGTCCTAGTACACATTCCTGTTGTCTGTAAACAGTCTGTATTTCTTAAGAGTGTTGTTTCAATTTGTGGCTCTAAGAATCAGTAGTAGTGTCTCTGAAGTGTTCATATATATGTTGCCCTACACCTGTAGTGTCTTAGATTCCTTGAAACAATAGTTGTATGTGTGTTTCCTAGTCCTTTCTATGTACTATGTGTATCTGTAGTCTTGTAGAATCCTTTCTACACTGTATGCCTGTGCTTTCAAACGTAAAATGTTATTGTATGCTTTATACAGTTGTCTGTACCTTAATATAGCTATCTAGTACTGTTTCATACAGTTCTACTTGTTTACTGTACTATTCCTTAGTCCTGTAGTCTCATAGAGTCTTAAATATACTAAATTCACTCTTTCAAATGTGTTGTTCACATGCCTGAACTTGTGTTCCATTGTAGAACTCTCTTGTTCTGTTACTGAATCCTTAGTATTACCTTTACAAAGTATCCAAATTGATAAAACATGTATATTACTACTAGATATGTAAGAATCTGTGTCATAGTCTGTAATCAACTCTAATTCTATATAGTTCTTACTGTCCAAGTTGTTTGCTAACTTATCTAAAGTAGTGTAACCAATACTGACATTACTAGATAATAAACTATTATCCTACACATTGTTCAATATGATTGTATTATAAGTAGGACAATTCCTAGCTAAATGATCATCTTGTTTACAAATGAAACATAGTCCTTTTACTCTCATTTCATCCAATTTCAATTAGGAATGATGTTTGAAACCTGTAGCATATGTTCTCTAATAGTTTCCTGTCTTGCTTTCATACTAGTCATTGTTCCTTAATGGATAATACAATTGCCTAGCCTTTCCTTTAGTGTTTGTACTACTTGTATGTATAGTATACTGACTAGAGTCACTATGATCTGAATCATTACTTTCACTATCCTGTAGAGTGAATTGATTGTTTCCTGAATTATCAGAACTGTCTGTATACAAATAATCACTCTGAGAATCATTACTACATTCTTACAGATAGAATTAATGTCTAGAATCTATGTACTATTTGATTCCTATAGATTCATTTGCTTTCTCAATACTTTCAAGCCTATCCTTGAAGATTGAGTAATCTACTGTGTCTAGATTCAAGCAATCTAATTGTAATTGCCTCTAGTACTTGGAATTCAATTTATACTATGCCTGTCTAGTCAAATCTTGCTAAGAAATGTTTCCTAGATTTGTAGCTTTCATCTCTAGATTGTACAAATAATCCTGAACATTCCTATTACCTTGTTTCAAAGTATTGAACTCTTTTCATAGTATTTCAGTAAAGTTGGAAGGGAAACAAAAGTTCATAAGTCCTCTAAAGAACTGAGCAAGTGTCCATTTATACTCATGGTTTACAATCTTTTGCAAATAGAAATTCATTACTTTTCCCTTAATAAAACCTAGCATTATCCCTACTTGGCTCTTAGGGAAATGATGAAGTCCTGATTGTTTCATGTACTAATTGACTTCAATAACAAACTTTGTATACTTTTGCAAGTCTGGTTCACTTGAGTATACTGTAGGAGCTATTAGTTCTACACTATACATTTGTATCTTTTATTTAAAGAGTTCTTTGTTCTGTTTCTTCCTCAAGCATTTCTTACACTTCTTAGTAGCCTCTGTATTACTTGAATTAATGTCTGACAGTTTGAATAAAGTATTACTTTGATTATTGTCATTGGATGAAGAGGAATCTGAATTATTACTGTCTGAGTCTGATTCTAAGTCAAGATTTCCCTTTCTCTATCTCCTAAAGCTCTGTATCACTCTATATACATAGCTATTCTTTGCTAGGCTCTCTGAAAGTCTTACTGATGCAAATATACTTTTCTAAACATTATTCAGTACTTTGTTATGCTTGTGTCCATTGTTTGTTCTTGAACTACAGTTGGAGCTATTCTTATACTTACTGTACTTAATATATAGCTTTGAACTGTATAGTTTACTGTACTCTGAATTGATTTTGTTCTCACTAATACTACTAGTGTATACCTTGCCTGGGACTGCTTTCAATTGTGAAGTATTACTATAGGATTGTTTGTTCCTTTTATTTTTGCAAGGGATACTCTAATGTCCTGAAAAACTTAGTATTTCCATTTGAGACCACATATATCTAAGTATTTCACTTTCTCTCTTATTCCTAGACCTGGCTAGAGTGTTGTATCTATTGTAGTACTCCTGTACATTGCTCCTGTACAATGTGTAGTCAATATCTACTATGTATAAGGTTAAACACTTGATTTTGTAGGTGTATACTTGATTTTCACTCTTTAGATCAAGTACTAATCCTTACAGTTCTAATTTGCATTCACTTTTGCTATCCTCAAAGTACTGTTCTGTAAATACAATGTCTGTTTTGCTTAGATAGTCTGAATTGATTTCACAATTGTATTGAATGCTTAGCAGTTCTAGTTTTCATTCTATTCCTTGTACTTTGTGTTTTCCTTTTACTTTACACTTTCCTTTCACTTTCTACAAATGTAATAGTTTGTCTAGACTCTTGAGTGTTTCTTCTACACTCTTAGATCAATAGTTCTAATCTCTACTGTCTGTAGGTACTGTAGCATGTCTGGCTTTTGTTCTGTAGCCTGCCTGAAGTGTTTCACACTTTTCTGTTACTATACTATCAAGTCTACTCTTGTTTGATGAAGGAGTTGCTTTCTCCTCTTCCTAATACATTCTATCAAACTTGTACATTCTTTTATTCAAATTGTTGATGTCTATTAAACTATAGAATGGGCTGACATGTTCTATGTCTATCTTAATTGCTCTGACTCTTGTAATGTGTCTGAAGGTCTTACTTGCCTTCTAGAAATCTTGTTCCTTATTAGATCTCTGTAATTCTAATGTCTGGCTCTCCTAGCCTTGTCTGTTACTCTTGTCCTTTGAGTCCTGGCTACTTTCTTTACTACCTAAAAGGGTCTTAAGTGTCTCATTACCCTCTACATTACTGTTGTCAATGTGTTTCTGTTCTAAAGTAAGTGTACTCACTGGATACTCATCCACACTCTTACTGATACTAACTATATACACTCTGTAACTCTTGTACTAGCTTACAAATTCCTTAATACTTACTGTTAGCTCTCTATATCAACTTGGTGAATCCTTAAACCAAATTGTCTGTCCTCTATTGAGTGAATCCTTAAACTCAGTAGTCTGAAATTGATTGAGCAAATCCTCAAACTCAACCTTCTATATTTGATTGGATGAATCCTCAAATCCAATTGTCTGTTCATTCTGAACTCAACTGTCTGAATCCTTAAGAACAATTGCCTAAGTGTTTCTACTCTCTGTACCTTTGTTTACTATTTCTTTAAGCCTAGTAGTGTGAATACTTACTAGTGTCTGCTCTACATTATACATCTGTCTAACTATATGTACTAGTACAGTTACATACCTTAGTTCTACATTATTAGTATGTACTAGTTCATTAAGGTGCCTCTAGCCTTGTGTAGACAAGAACTTATCACCTAGTATAAGTTCATTAGGTTGCCTCCAGCCTACAAGGGATGAGGACTTACATTCTAGTATGTTAGTATTAATATCTGGACTTGGGTACTCTCTAGGAATTGTTAGTCAAGGCTCAGCAACCACATTGTAATCAATATCTAATGGATAATCTTGTTGTCCATTGTCTGTAAACTCAATATGCACCTGTTTGTTCCTTTTCACTATCATGGATGCCTGGTCCTCAACCCATCCAATCAATGCAAACCTCCAGCATATTCAGTACTAGTCCATATTAATATGTGATAATATGTTTCAGAAGTGTTCTACAGTATTCTGAAGCATTGTGAACCTACTAGAGGCCAATCTAGTAAGTAGTCTCTGTTTCTACTCGAAAATTGTAACTTTACTCACTAAAAAATCCTGAGGGGTACTAGACAATGAGGGAGACCTAGGGTTAATCAGACCCTTCAGTTCCTCAGTGTCTAGCAAGGGGTTTTGGTGCTAGGTGGGTACAGTCAAAAATATGTAAGGAAACTCACTGTTCCTTACAAGAGAATTCTAATTGCCCTTAGTTCACTCAACTACTGACTGGGATAACCTAGTACTCGAGCAAGGGGTCAGGGGAAAAGAATCCCCTTTACCCAGCAGTCAATACTGTCTTTTATAGGGGTATACATGTGTAGATACATGAGGAGGAAGTGTAACTAACTACAATGAGAATATATGTGCTTGTGAGTCCCACTGTGCAATGATCTGACACAATCAGCAATGTAGTGATAATAAAATACAAACCAGTAAATCAAATCCTTACAATTGGGTTGGGCTACTTCGCCTGGGTGCTTTAGGTGCGTGATTGGGATTACATAAAGATCGACGCCAAATACATAGCCTCGAATCTATTTAGCATTGCACTTGAATTCTGACCATGACAAGCAATCGCCTCCCTCAAGACCTAACTTTCGATCTTATTACTGCCGATGAAGTTCCCGTTGCTCATGCGATTGAGACTACAGGTGGGCGTGACATTGACACAAAAACAGCGTCTTACTGACCGTGCATGTTACGGTTGTTAGCGTTTCCTCCAGATGAAGCTGCCACTCTTGAGCAATTTCGAATGCGCCAGGAGCTCGCGCCGAGTTTGTTCCTAGGCGCTTTTCTACCTCCACCTCCGGAAAGCTCAAGGAGAAGGCTCATTGGTTATATCTGTGCAACGCAATCCAACTCTTCGATACTTACTGAGGAGTCGATGAAGAAGCATGATCCCAATGGTCCTTCTGTATGCGTACATGCTGTAGTTGTGGAAGCAACGTACCAACAGCGTGGAGTTGCCCTTTCGCTTCTCAAAGAGTTTGTTGCTCGGATGAGAAGTGCTGGTTTATATAAACGGGTACTGTTAATCTGTCATGAAGACATGCGACCGCTGTACGAAAGAGCTGGATTTGAGTACTTAGGGCCAAGTTCGGTCGTTCATGGCGCGTTGCCCTGGCACGAGATGAGAACCGAACTTCCGGGTGAGGGTCCTTCAAGTACCCCAGACGAGCCACTACCAGAATCCTCTGGATCGATTCCCCCGGGCCTCTTGGAAGCACTCCAACAGCAGCAAAGTTCGTCTCGAAGTCGACCTTCCGCACGCCTTCTTCCTTCGTTCTCAGACGGTATCAACGGTGTCTCCTCCTCTGCTGCTCCTGGAGATCCCAAAACAAACAAGTACGATTTGTTATGTCCTCGTCCTAGATGCGGATGCGTCATTCTGAAGCCGGGTGTTGGTCGACTTGTTGATAAGGAGCTTGTTGAGGTCAGATATTTCTTTCGGCTTATGATTCTGTTGTTTTGAATATGCATGCTAATATGTTTCTATTTGTATTGTTTAGCTCGAACCTGTGGATAAGTCGCCCTCAAGTTTGCTTGCCTCTCTCCCGCCAGTTGGCAGCGCTACTGCTTGCTGGCTTGTGGAGCCTAGTCCAATGGCCTTCGAAAATACTGGGTTTTCGCGGACTGTTGATCGGGACTCGGCGAACCAAGGTAAGTATATACCCTGGTTTTAAAGAGGATGTGTGCATCTGATTTATCTTATCATTCGCATCCCATGCGCTTCCGGAACTTAAAGGTGCACGACCCAAGTTAAAACTGCTGATTTGCGCAGATTGTGATCTTGGTCCACTTGGATGGTGCCTTGAAGGTGGAAAGGAGTTCTGGCTTGTTTGCACGCGGGTTGGGTATAGAGCTTGATGTGCTTGAAAGTGATGTGATCTATAGACAAGCTCTTATGAATCCTGAATAGAATCATCATATCTGGGTTTCTGTATATGCATCGGCATGCACCTGCTATCCTCAGGTTCAGATTATATGCTTTCAGGAGTTCCGCGTAGACTCGGGCAATAAGGATGTCGACGCCGCAATCACTATTTCCGACTTAAATGCTTAACTAGGCAGATCGAGAATTTGTTACGGATCCCACTTTCTACTAAACTAACTTGGTCGCACGCAAGATATGAAGTCCATTCACATTATTGTCAGAACCGTTATGAATTACAAGAAATGCGGGAAAAAAGCGTCTCTAATATACCCCCTCAGGAAGAGAACGACATCTTTAGTTAAAGAACTTGCGGTTCTCGTTTGCACCGAAGAGTTCGAAACGGATCTCGGGGAGCATCTGTTTGCGTATTCGAATGTCATATCAGTTAGTTATCGGAAGTTGATATGAGAAAAGTAAGGATAGTATGAGTTGGGGGTAAGGGGAGATAGACGTACCCTGCTCTCGAGAAGTCGGAGTCGTTCATCAAGAGTGTTGTCGAGGGAGATTCGGCCGCCAGATTGGAGTTTTATGCCTCCAGCACTAGATGTCAGGCAGGTGCAGAAAGTCCACGACAACAAAATCAGAAGAGGTCAGACTGAATGGAATTTATGGCACACACATATTATCAGACAACTCTGTAACAACCGTTATCGAGACGTCACGTCCGCTAATGGAGCGATACTGCTCCTTCGCACCCTCAGCAGCTTTCTGTACAAGCTGCTCGTCTTTAGGGCGGGCTATAACCAGCACCTCTGTGTCCATCAGCTGTAGAAGACCCTATTAAGCGACCAACAAGAATTGAAGTATTGTGATCAGAGATTAATCTAATCTAACGAATATTCTGGTGTGGCGACGACTCACTTGCAAGATGATGCCCTCGAGCAATTGAGCATAGCGACCCTCATCTTGAGAAAGTTCAAGGAGCTCTTCGCGTGCCTTCTCGAAAAGCGTTTGAAGGTGCTCCTCGCGGCGTTGCAGGAGCCGAAGACGTGACTTGTTGAGTTGCGTAGACTGGGCACTGTCGGTGTGGCGGGATGTTCAGCATTCAAGTAAATCATCCCTGCAACAGGGGAAAGAAAAGGGCGTACATCTTCTGAGCGACCTCTGCTTGTTTACGCCTCTTTTCGAATTGTGCGTCGATGGCTTGTTGAGCTTGTTTAACGAGTTTCGCCTGTTGTGCGACGTGAACAAGTTTAATACATTCACACATCGCCAGTGAAAGCATTACGGACCTTCTCGATTGCGAACTCTTCGTCTGCCTTGACTCGGATTTCTCTTCCCTTCTCTAGTGCCTCCTGTCTGATGAACGAGACCTGTATAGTCGATGAGCTCTAAACTCCTATGTTCAAAGAGTAGAATGAAGGAGGTAGCGCACCATCTTGTTCATCTCGCTGGCAACCTCATCATCGTTGAGCGGTCTTGACGCCATCTTGAGCTAGTATGTAGTCTTGCAGAATACCAGAGTCTGAGCTGAAGACTGGCAGTGAGCTCGATGGTATGCTGCAGCGTCCACACAGCTCCTTTCGGTATGCGGCACGTGCAGTCTGGGCGTTATGTCAGCATTTTGTTCAGTTCGTCTCCATTCTTAAATCTGCTCTAATTATAAGGTTCAAATTTAGCTGAACATGTTTAACTCCGCATGTAACCTATCCAACCTTTACCAGGAATACTTTAATTTTATTATCTCGAGAAAAGCAGCAAACAGACGAGGATTGGAAACACGACCAGATTCTTACATAACTGATCGTGCGAAACTTGTGCATGGGCGCATGTTGTTCTCTCTCGAGGACTGGGTGCTGTGCAGCGACGCACTTGTCCATCGTCTCTCTATTCATCATCTTCTTTCTCTCGTCGCGTGCGATCTCCGCCTTTGTCGAGCGCACGCTAGGCAAGGGTTCACGACGTCACGACGCTCTTTATATCTCCCCCCACGCGAGTCCCAGCTTTTCATCGAGCCCGGGTTTCCCAGCGCTTTGTCTAAAATCGACCTGTCGTACCTATCGATTGCGCGTTCCTTAGTCTCGTCACGCTCTTGGTTTCGTCTTTTCTTTTTGACTTCCTCTCCTTTCTGTAAGTCCCGTGCTTTCTTAGGTATCGTAATATACGAGCTTCTGAACTGGCCTAGCTCTTTTTATATTATTCTTTTGCAAGGCATATCACACATCATGTCCAATCAAAGTCCGGTGGCTCCCAGCTCGCGAGACCGTGCCAACAGCCGTGCAAGCACGAGCAGCATGATGGGGTTAAGCTCAGGCATAGCAGCGAACGGCAGTGAAGGCGACGAGAAGAACAGGTTGGCTTCTGGTTCTTCTTTCCATCTAGAAGATTCATATCGTGCTAATAATTGCCGCCGTTGTTCTTCAGCGTCGTCATCAAAGTCGGGATGGTGGGCGACTCGCAGATTGGCAAGACGAGCTTGATGGTGAAGTATGTGGAAGGCAGTTTCGACGAGGATTATATCCAGACTCTCGGCGTCAATTTCATGGAGAAGACGATCAGCGTCCGACGAACGACCATCACGTTCTCAATTTGGGATCTTGGCGGCCAACGCGAGTTCGTCAACATGTTGCCGCTTGTGTGCAACGATGCGGTTGCTATCCTGTTCATGTTTGACCTATCGCGAAAGTCGACGCTTAATTCTGTTAAAGAATGGTACCGACAAGCACGGGGCTTCAATAAGACCGCGATTCCATTCCTCATTGGCACTAAATACGATACCTTCGCGACGTTCCCTCGAGATGAGCAGGAGGAGATTACGAAGCAGGCTAAGAAGTTTGCAAAGGCGATGCATGCCAGTCTTATCTTTTGCTCGACGTCGGCGTCGATCAACGTGCAGAAGATTTTTAAGATCGTCCTTGCAAAGGCCTTCGACTTGAAATGCGTTATCCCGGAGATCGAGGGAGTTGGAGAACCGATATTATTGTACGTGGATGTATGAGAGTGTGGTGACGTGAAGGAGAACCGGAGAAAGGCCTGGTTTGAGGTGAGTTGAATCTCTAGCCTCATAGCAAGGATCCGTCGCTGATGTTATGCTGCAGTATTTAGCCCGAGTTGTTTTTCCGTCGAATTCACGGGCTGTGGATACCCTATCAAAACGCACGCGCATAAAAACGGGTCTTCAAAAAGTTTGATCTCGGATCTCCACTTAGGAAAACTGGTGTCCGACAGTGGCACAGGACAGTTCACTTGGGACAATCCATTTCCATATTACTCCTTCACCGTCAATCGTACGCATTATCTCATTCTCAACGCGCGCTTTGTCTGTGTTTTCCATATTCTTTTATTCTTCTGGTATTACGTATTCCATCGTCTATTTGAACTACGTCTCTCGTCCCAACATCCTCATGTGCCATTTATACGCTCATACATTTTCTTGTCGTATTGTAGTCATCATCATTCCTCTCTGCCTTTCTCTGCTTCCCCATCCTCTGCCATCCATCTTCTTTACCTTTTCTGCAATCCACCGTTCGTCCTCTGCTCGTTGATTTACGTCGTGTCTGCTCGTACTCCGTCGTCAACCCCCATCCAATCCCACTACTTTGCCCAGCTTTGTCACTCTTCATCCCTCGTCCCGTTACTCTCTCTGCGTGGCCATCTGTGTACATGCCTTGCATTAGCATGATATTAATTTACTGTCCTTTACACCATTTTATTATTTACCCATATTCGACCTCTTAGGCCGGCCATCACTACATCACTAGGTCTCTCTTCATTTGATGATTGTTGATTCTCCGAGGTCCTGCTTTCGCCTCAGTATAACCGCTTTGGGATTTTTTTAGAGCACGCCGTGGGATATTGTCTTTTCAAGTCCTTACCCACCTGTGCAGTGTGCACGTATCGATCAATGATTCATCCACCTTCGACCGAACTTTTTGATGATGGTTGTTGCTTTCGGGACGGGATAACTCCCAGTTTGGAAGGTTACAATTTATTATTGCTTTGCTTTGAAAAGATTGCTTGCCTGGTTAAACAAGATAATGTAAACTATCTGACTCAATGTCCAGCTTCTCGATTTCTTTCTTGTATAACTGTGGTATGTCGAAGAGACTGCAATTACATTCTGGACTTGGCTATAAACTGTACGAGAGCACGTGACGGAAGCAAATCACGCTGATCGCGGCAAGAATTGATCGACAAAATCCCGTAAAAATGATTCTTCCGCTGAAAACCAGGTACAAAACCTACACGCAAAAGAACCCAAGCCCAACGGCCAACAAAACAGGCCAGGCGGAATCATTTTTTGATATGTACTGCACATTGCTATACACCCCTCTGAGCGCTTTACAACACATATCTCCTTCGATGGAGATGTCGCAACAACAGTTTGAAATTTGAATTAATCCATTTCAAGGAACGATTACGTTAAACCCGTGCATAGACCGAACGGGATCATTCAATCATTGATGAGGGCTGGAGCCTGGTCTACGGGTCGCGATCGTGGATACTTAGGCGCCCGACGTGTTCGACAGTGCCAGCAACCTCGTCTCACGTCTGCGAATGCTCTGAAGGACCAAGTCGGCCATGTCGAACTCTCAATCACCACCAGACGAGAAATTTCGGTACGTTAGAAACCAAACATTTAACCATTATAAGTAATATCCGCCGACTGATCCTATCACTGTTGCACTGATAGGCTTCTTCACTTGAAAGGCATGTCCCATCTGATATTTCGCTTGTGGCGTTACCGCTAACAGAACCCTGCACAGACATCGAAGTTTCCTTCAAAGACAGACAACCAAAGTACCCTATCAAGTTGAAAGTCTTGTCTGGTCAAAACGTGCTAAGGGCCAAGGAATACGAGAATGGTGCAGCGGATAACCGTTTGAGATGGGAAGCCGACGTGTATGTGAAGTAGCTAATTCTTGACGTCCCTGTTAAGCATCTGACCAAATGGACTACGAACTGCAGACACCTTTCCCCGGACTTGAACCTCGAAATTGTTGCCAAAGAGTCTCACACGATAAAATGGCGTGCAAAAAGAGACTTTGCTGCGGTTAGCTTTGACGCGGAGGAAATGAAAAAGGATAACATTATAACCAAGGAAGGTACGTGCTGCATATATCCAGATGTTTCGCAAAGAAGATATGACCTAGTATCGCAGACGACAAGAGCCTAATATCCGTGAAGCTCACGTTTGAAGCTCCTGTTGCGGTGAGCACAACCATTCACTTGCTTACGTCTAAATGAAGCTAATGGTCCAATTGGCGAATCGCCAGGCTAGTGATGTCCTGCGTAAAGCAACCAAGGATTCCATTGGCTTGTTAGAAAACAAAACGGTAATACTGGACAAACTTGGGAGTGCTCGGAAGTTTGTTGAGGTGGCGAAAGGGTTCGGTGATGTCGTAGCTGATGTAAGTTCCTTCAGATCTGAACCCCTGTACAGTATCAGTAACTTTATCTTAGCTTCATCCAGCTGCAAAGGCTGCCATGATTGCCTTTGGCATGCTTTACGAGGTAACATCACCTGCTATAAACAGAATCATCTACTCACATTTGTTGCAGAAATTGGAAGGGCAGGAGCAAGTCCACAAGGACGCTTCAGAGTTGATAGACGACATGTCGTTGTTCTTACCGTTTACCGAGGTCGTTGATCCAGCTACGATGGCTAACGAAATGGCGAAAAATGCGGTTAAAGACTTCCTAGATGTCTTTAGGGAAGCGTGTGAATTCATTGTCCAGTATTCAACGACGAGTGCAATAGGTTTGCCGCTTCCCTCTGTTCAGCGGGATAGAACTAAATTACCGTCATATAGGAGACCTCATTTCGTCGCAAAAATCGGAAGTCAATAAGCTCACGGATACTTTCAAGAAGGCGAAAATGAGATACGATTGGTCAATTAAGACTGATATCTGGAGGGTTAACCTGAAACTTGGTAAGCGCACTCGCACTCATAGTACGTCGAGACGTCAAGGCTTTTGCTGACTTTCCAACAGAGAAAATTAAGGACAACGAGATGTTGAAGCTTCTCCATGTGTCTGCCTTCGGCCCAGCTGGAAAAGAATATTATCGCACAGACAAGAGCTGTCTGGAAGGGACGCGCATATCAGTCCTTAAGCAAATATCTGAGTGGGCTGAGATAGAAACTGACCAGAAACTGTTCTGGTTGCAAGGATCACCCGGTTCAGGAAAGACGGCCGTCGCTAATTCTGTTGCGCATACACTTGACCAGCAACGACTTCTCGCTGGCTGTTTCTTCTGCAATAAGGATGATCAGGATCTCAAAGACAATACCAAAGTTATCCCATCATTAGCCGCGCACCTTGCCGTGTGGCATCAGCCGTTCTCAGAAAAGCTTCTCTCCACTCTGCAGGGAGAAGAGAAGAACCGGCTTGCGTCCAAGACGTTGCAAGAACAGTTCGATTTACTCATCAAAGGGCCCGTATTGGCGTTATCTGCGGACGAACAAAATCAGTCTCCCCACCCACTTGTCATTGTTATCGATGCTCTTGACGAGTGCGGCGATAATAAAGGACAACGGCTACGTCTTGCAAAGATACTCGTACAGATATCGCAGCTGGTCCCGTGGTTGAAACTTTTTGTAACGAGCACGCCGTTGCCCGAGTTCACCCAAGCGTTTGAAAATTCGTCAACGTCGCCAGAGAAGTTGAACCTCGATCAGGCTGCGGATACGACTAGGGATATTATCCTTTACGCAAATTACAGAGCTAAGCTTATTGCTGAGGACTTCGACTTATCTCCCGATTGGCTTGGTGATGAGAGGATTTCGATCTTCGCTTTGCAATCACGAGGGTTATTCATTCGTACGCGCAACACGTTTGATTACATCTCAGGCCAGGTGGATGTGGAAGAAGCCGCCGACACCGTCGTGTTAAATCCTGCTACTACCGAACCGGAGCAGCCTAAGATCGAACCGCCGCAACCCAAGCCTGAGCCAGTTTCTAATACTCGACGGCAAGTTGGAAGCACCTCACGCAACCATCGGACCACGGGGCCAAGTCTTGGTATTGCAGTCAGGTAGTTATACGTGCACTAGCCGACCGAGAACTGATCAGTGGAGTCGAAAAGGTGTTACGTAGGAACGCCGGTGCAGAAGGTCTCTGTGGGACTTGGTTGAAAAGGATGATCCTTAATTATACCAGCCGTATCTATACCAAGCGTATTGGCCGCAACTGTATTATGGGGTCGAGAGCGGATTGGGAGGTTATGCCACAGAGTAGCGGAGGACATTCAAGGAGAGCTTTTGCGGGTGCGGTGAAACACTATCATCACTATCATGCCTGAGCCGTCACCCGTGTCCCCCCCCCCCCCGTTGTAGCAAGGTCAAACACAACCGTCGGAAGGGTGTAGGATAGTGGGAGATGCAAAAGAGATGGTGAGGCTGCGCCCAGGGAAGGTACCGGATTAAATAAGCTTTGTACTGGTACATGTAAAGTATTTGGCCTCAATCGGCATGTATTTAATTAGCCTTCAGATTACCTTTTTGAGTATTGACAAGTTGGTGACGCATGCCAAAATTGCGTGAGATGGATGGACCTACAGTTAATAATTACTAGAATAGCGTGACTTTCCTTTCCAGTAAGTACTCGGATATCATTCAAGTTTGCAATGTAAAGGCCGTTGCAGTAAAATACTCTGCCTCAATGTGTCCAGAGCAATGATCTTCGCAAGTACGTTGAAAAGCGCATCGGAATTATCTGACATCTTATACATTCAGAGGTTTTATACGTGAACTAGTAATCTTTCTTTGAAATATTCATACATTTACAAGACGCACTAACACCCGGTTTGCCTCACTATGTCAGCACTACACAGCGACACAAATCACCAAGTGTAAGTAATAGTACGCGACCACCCAAAGCCTAAGAAAAATTTCATGACTAAACTAGAAATCCCATTGTAGCAAGAACGAATACTCTAGAACTCGTTGCTAATGAGATATCATTTAGTAGATGTGTAATGCTAAAAGGTAATATATACACTTACACGTGAGCGACGCTCGTGACGGCTGGGTTCTGCGTGAGAGCAGGGAAGGGCGTCTGTGTGCACGCTGCATCGACATCGGTGATAGTTGCAGTTCCAGGGAAGAACGGGTCCGGAACATGGGCCGCGGGTTCTTGAGGAAAGTTTGTCAGCGCAGTGGGTCAAGAAGCGATTTCGCAGGTAACGTACGAGGAATGAGTTCTGAGCAGTCAACGAGCTGCGATACGTCTTGGCCAGTGAGCGAAAGCTTGGTCAATCCGGCACCGAAGGCATTTCGCATCGCATCCTCGTCAGTAATGAAGCTCTGCCACAAGCATGATGTACGGTCGTCACGAGCAATCGCCACGTCGGACGGAAGGCGACCCTCTCCAGGAACCGCGGAATGCAGGCGCGTCTCGATGAAGAATTGACTGTCGAAAACGTGATTTGTACTGTCGAATGGCGCTCCTCGGTTCGCTCCGGTAATCGTGTCAGCAGCGCTAATCGAGTGAGATGCGAGTAAAGAGACAAGTTCGTCTGTACTGAAACCGGCGTCGGCGAAGCGTTCAATGATAGTGTCAATAGGGTCTAGAAGGATAATAGAGGCGTCATTAAATTGTACATGCTAAAGTCGGTATAGTAAAGTACCTCCTGGTTGAGAAACGAGACCATCAGGAGCTGCGGCAACAGCATTCGGGCGACCCGCGAAGAACTGAACTCTGGGTGTACCTTCGCAGTTCGTGATGCCAAGTGCGCCAGCAAAGTGAACCAAGTCACCAGCAGAAACATTGTGCCTTGAGAGGAAAGGCACCATTGTAGTGACGAAATCTTCGACACCGCCGTTACCACCGTTGGCGGCGAACGTCAACTCGGTGTCAGAAAATGTGAGGATCGAGCCATCGGCTCCGCCGCCACCGAGAGTTGGCGAGAATGCAATACCGTCGTGGAAGGTGAGACGGAGAGCTCCACGGACCTCTTCACCGCATTCATTTTCAAACAGATTGCTCTGGAGGTCATCACGAAGAGCGAAGAATGCACAGCAGGCCTCGTTCGTCGCGGTGTTAACGCCATCAGGACAGCTGACACGGCGGGTGAGCGCCGCATAAGTGCCAGAGAGCGTTGTGACGAGCGAAGTGATTGCGAAGAGGGTCTTGAAAGACATATTGCAGTAAGATGAAGCAGGCAATTATCAGAGTACTGTTGGCTCTGGAGAGACAATACCCATCACTCCTGCGTATTTATGCATCTAGAACCTGTCAAAAGCACTAAAGATGATTGGTTGCATATGAGCGGTTCCACGTTCAATAGTTACGGACATACTGAAGAGCTGGACGTGAGAGAGAGCACATGTCTCGACAGGTACAATCCATACCGAAAGAACGGGAATATAGGCTGTGCATGAAGGTGAAGCTTGCAGGAATGAGGACAGAGAATGATGAATAGCATTCATGAACCGTTCTGAAACAAAGACTAGCACGGGCATTCATTATACACGATGCTCTTCCTGGTAGTTTAAGCCATGGATTTCGTGCATCGAAATCAGTTAAACCATTGGGAAAGCAGAGACACAGCGTTGAGCTGAAGTGCACAAACGGAAGGTGAGCTGACAGACTCGATAGCTCAATCTATTTCTAGAGAGTTCTTAGAACAACGTATAGCAAAGAATAGCGAGACAGAACCTAGACAATCGGCACGCGCTACGGCACAGAGAGCATTGAACTGATCACCACATGCACATAGTTAGTGTGGGCACCAGGATAACCATGTCGCTGATCTTCATAACCAGTATGGACAAAGTCTAGGTCAGCAGTAGTATGGCGGAGAGTCCACAATCTGAGGGTTTCCCCATATCTGGAGATGATTCGAGGGAACGGAGGAGAAGACCGCGAAGGCGAGAACGTCAGGAACAGATGAGGCCTTGGGAGGCGAGATCGTCTAGCGGGTCCGCTTACCGTAGGGCGGGACAGAGCGTGGGATACAAAATTGAGGAGAAGCGGACAAGAAGATGAATTTGACAGCATTAATAAAGAACCGTTGCTTCGGAGCCGCTTCGTGCAGCTGGAACCTGGCACAAGACCCCAGCGTATCAGGAGACGGGTATTATACAAGTGCGCATGTCCTGACATGCTTGTGCTTATTATTGTTAATCAAAAGAACAAGTAAGACAGCTTCTGCACATTGCAACCGAGAGTGACGACGCTTCTGATTGTTGCAGTCTTGCAGTACAACATATGGTGTTCATCTGACTCGTGTATATCGCTAATCAGTCTTTGGAACGAATCTCAGGAAGGTACGTACAAAGGGACGAGCATATCGCCATCGCCTGTCTTCCCGTTCAAAACAGAACTTCAGGTCGGACCTCACCTAAATCAACCCATCTCTCCCTCGGGAGGTGTCATTACCACTGGTATGGCTGCCTTGCGTGTCGCTCAGAAACGTCGTCTTAAACGTACTGTGCTTCTATCTAACGGCCTAAGCAGCGGTACACCACTTCTCTCATATCCTTCGCTCCCGAACGGGTGAATAAAATAGTGTCTGATTCACAGGTCTGCCGTTTGGAGAAGGTCAATGCACATATGGTCTTCCAATAGCAACTCATTCATTTGACTCACCAGTCTTCCATCCGTCAACATTGCCTTGTTTTTGCTTCCCTATCTCTCATGGCTCAGAACTTATCTGAGTCCAGGAGGTCGCCGGAGAGGCCGAGGAAGCCATGCTATCGCATACATGCACAGTCGCAGTGGTAGATTTCACTATCTTGGGTGTTGCTCTCATGCAATGCTTGGGAATGAGGCTGGATGAGCGGTAGAGATCGGCGGCAGAGAGGCAAGTGCTCTCGGGTGAAGGGGAAATGTATGATCTTTCACAGCACAGAGCCGCGGAAAATGATTCCGAGACAGGAGACAAGATTCATCCAATGAGGGTAGACAAGCATATGGCATATCTGGCAGTTTGTTGTTGGGTATTTTTTTTCTAGTCGAGATGCGTTATCGCTTCGGCTCTTCTTCACGTAGCACCTCTCTTGCACAGTGATGATAGCAACTGGACGGACTTGTGATCCAGCGTACACAGTGAACTGCAGCAATAGCGTCTGCTACGACGAAGCTGCCAACACCTGCATCAAGTCCAGAGAGACATAACTAGATCAATTCGCATACACAAAAACGAAAGCTGCACACAGTTTCAAACGGTCTTAGTTAAGAATTCCGCGTTATATGAGCTTAGGAGCAGCCTGGGAGCATACTGTTGGTCCTCACTACCAAAATCGTGTAGGGATAATGTCGACAAACAGAAGTTGTGCTACTCACAAGTTCTAGTTTGAAGTGATTTGAAGAGACTGTTAGTCAGCTTTTCGACTTGCAATGCAGGGTGATTTTTAGCCATTCTGCTAAAAGGTCATAATTTGTGTAAAAGTTTGCAAGCCATTCTGTTCTCCGCACGCGCATTTATGCAAAAGTAATAAGTAACTTTGAGCATGAAACACGAAAGTGCGAGAATAAAGACACAGTGCTTTCAGAATGCCAGCTCACAAGAAACGTGCAGGTTGGAAACAAATGAAACTCGTCGACCAACGAACGTCAGCTGGCCCTAAAGTAAGTCACGTGCAATGCACGCTCATCCCCATGCTTCACAATTATTCAATTCAATTCAATTCAATTCAATTCAATTCAATTCAAATCCATTCTGATCTCAAAGCCAAATCTCTGAAATTTCCCTTTCTCCTGTCCTGTCTCCTCCGAGAATAACACAAAAATCTCCGATGAGTGAAGTCGTCAATGTCGTAGTCGCGCTCGCGGTGATCGTTTTCGTCGTTCGGTGGGCAACTTCCACCTCACGCGAGACGCCTGAGGAACGGAATGTACGGACTACGCTTGGTTTTAGGCCCAAAGCTGTTACACCTGAGATGGTGTGTCAACGTGCCATTTTCGAGTGAAACTTCGTGTGCTAATCATGGCTTGCACCTTTCCTCCTTGCTATTATGTTGGATTGCTATGGAATTCGTAACGAATTACTCGTCAACTTTCTTTGTGATGGCCGCGCGGGACCGTCGCGAATATAGACAGAAACGATTTCAAGCATGTTCCCTGATATGCCAAGGTATTCATGAAATGAACACAAAAGTATTAAACATCTAAATCTCCTGGCATTTGTAGAGAAAATATACACTATGACCTCCTGCGAACTGGCAGTGTCGAAATGACAACGAACAAAATCATCGAGCGCGGATTCTTAGATCCTGTGCGTGTCATCTCTTCTTGTCGTCCTCTCATCTTCTTACCATTTTAATTGTGACTTATGATTTGCAATGGCAAATAGCCGCCACAGGCATACTTCCGGCTATACCCTCGCACTGAAAATGCACGCCAACCCGCAACTGGAGCTGCACAACGACCAGCCTCTCGGGCTCAAACGCCAAACACGTCCGGTGCTCAAGCATCTTCTTCATCCTCTTCAGCCCCTGCACAGAAATCTGCACCATCACTGATTGCACGATATCACTTGGAGAACTATCTTTCGTCGCAACGCGTTGATGAGCGTACGAAAGAACGAGAAGCCAGTGAGGTAAAACTGGTATTCGAGTCGCCTGAGCAAGCGGGTGGGAAGGCTAGGTGGGAAGAGACTCCCGAGAAGCGCGAAGCTAGTCTGAGGGAGAGGAAGGCTCAAATGATCTTAGCTGCGAGGAAGTACGTCTGGAATTCTTCACGTCGTCCTTCGTTCGAAAGTGATTAATGCTTATGTGCTTTATGACGTATAGGCGATTAATTGAGCAGCAAAAGGCCGCCGGAGCTGCACCTGCCGAAGCTGGGCCATCAGGCCTGAAAACAGAGTAGGACTGGCATTCATTCCCGGTTTCTCGTCTGTTCTCCCCGCTTAATGGTCTACTCAATTCTGCGTTTACTCCCCTGTTTATCCCTACATATCACCCGCACCCATAATGCTATAATGATCATTCAATCGCCATGACGAATGACGCAACATGTTTAACTGGGTTCAAGATTTCGTTTTGCCACCAACTTTGTTTCTTTGTAACTCGAAGTGGGTTATTTAGAGAATTTGGCAATATATCGACTATCGATTTATGCTGTTGTTTCTTCCTCCTTGCGGATGTTCAATTGGGATATGAGCACGGTAATTTTAATGCATTTCTAAATCTCCAGTCCTGTAAGTCCTTGTGTACAATTTCGTGATAAGCACATACGCAATCCGACTACCTCCATGCTAATGGTTTTATACTGTACACATCTATTCAAGATGGGGCTATGAACAGGGCCATGAGTGATATGCTGTATAGCTCCGTTTCAAACCGTCTTACAGTAAATAGTATATTCACTTAATAGGTCTTAACAAGCCTTACTCTTGCCTCCTCTGCAGTTGGCGCCTTCAACTGCTCATCCATCGCCTTCACAAAGCAGAAAGCAACATATCAGCGATTCAAAGACTCGAAAGGAGATCGAAAGATACAGACCTTGTTCACGCTTAAATACGCTTCAATAAACTCTTCTCCCAGTGCATTTCTCATAACTTTATCTTCCTGAAGTGCTGTCCTCGCTTCATCGATACTCAACGGCATCCTATTTACTACACCGCACTTTGCCCTTTCTGCTTTGGACAGTTCGCTCGCGCTTGCAGAAGAAAGTCCGACACAGCTGAGTTTAGAGCGATTATAGACTCCTGAGAGACCTGCAGAAAGGAGAGCGGCAATGGCGAGGTATGGCGAGGCAGTTCCGTCGACGGACTTGATTTCGAAGTGATAATCCGCTTCCACATTTTTGTTTGCGTTCCCTAAGGAGGGACGAGGACCACGACCGGCAAGCCGAACAGGTGCCTCACGATTATCTCTACCCCAACACACCCATGTCCCGCCGCTCCATACGCCATCTACCACACGGTCGTATGATGCACGTGTGGGGAGGGTAAGCGCCGTCGCAGCTTGTAGGTGGGCCATTAATCCGGCAAGGAAGGATGATTGGAGAGGGGTGAGCGAGACGTTTGGCAGAGAGGTGATCTGCACTGGTATGGCTAGGGAGGACCAAGAGGGTGACGTAGATGTTAAGGAGATATGCGCATGCGCTGCACTTCCACCTGAAAGTAGGAGGAGGCGGGAATTAGCGAGTGTAAGTTAAAAGAGGGGAGAAGCGTGAGAAGCGAAAGACGAACAGCTATTGTTATAAACACGCGGAGCGAGCGTAGCGCGCATACCGTGCTTCGCAGCAATGTTCAGAATAATTTCACGCGTCGTAACGAGCGCGTCGCAAGCCTCGAGAGGTGGAAGGGGCCCAGTCACAAACTCATACTGCATATCAAATAGCAAGATTCAACATAGCTCACTACAGAAGGAGCCCAAAACAATTCACCTGACCAGGAGCAGATTCGGCATGGTACATTTGCAACTCGATTCCAGCATATTCAAGAGCGTCAGCGATCTCTTCACACGCTTTCGTTTCCGGTGTTTCAGATAGTAGAGCGGAGGTTTCGGACCATCCGTAGTCATTGACCGCTTGTATGGGATTGACTGAAGAGAGAAAAATGACTTCCGTTTCGAATCCGATGAGAAACTCGACACCTTCTGTCTTTCGTGCATTCCTTTGGGTTTTGTTCATCATTTATTTAAAATTAAGATATTATTGGTATTGTTAATGGGGCATTAGCAAACACGAACTTCCCGAAAAGAAAGGTCCATTGGGGTACTCACTCAACGATTCGAGGGAGAAGTGCACGAGGGCATAACATCGCCTCGAACGGTGCCTGCTTTTCAAATACTTCATTCTCCTCGAACCAACCCATCACACTCGCGTGTCCAGGAGCATACTGCAACAGCCGCACAGACGCGAGATCAGGAACATAAACATACCCTCCCGTTGCGCTGAACCCTTCGGCCAAAGAGAGGAACGCAAAACCAAATGAGGCTTTTGCAAGCGGGATGCCTCCATGAGGGTTGTATTTCACTAAGTGTCCGTGCTCCTTGTCGGAATCGACCTGATTGGGGATCAGATGCCCATTGGTAGTGCCAGATGAAGTTTCAGAGGCAAGTTTCCGAAAATGCCTAATTGGGACGACACGGTAGCGCACGGAATTGATAAAGTCAACCCAGACAATACGGACGAACTGTACTTGCTCGTCATTCAGGATATCCAGACAGACTGGAGGCATCGAAGTTACTTGTTCTTCTATCTTAGACATAGCTTTTTATCAGCGTAGAAGGGAAGATAGAAATAAAAGAGCCCGCTCAGTGCTTCTTGAACTCGAACCACAATCATCTTCCCACACTTCTCTTTTTTCACCCCCTCTATGTCATTGCACTCATAGAGACATATTTTTCATTTCGGTCCCGCAGGCCCTTGTGCACAATTTCGTGATAAGCACACAAGCAATCGCCTTCAATGAGCGCATCTCAAAGTAAACCATCAATTAAGGAACAGAGCGAGAAGGATGAATGCATCTATTCGAAATGGATTTTAACAAGACCATGAGTGATATAGGGTAACTCGGTTACTAAGTTTCTTACTTAATAAGTCTTAACAAGCTTTACTCTTGCCTCCTCCGCAGTCGGCGCCTTCAACTGCTCATCCATCGCCTTTATAAAAGGGAGACAGCTCATCAGCGATTCAACGAGACTCGAAAAGAGTTCAAAAGACACAGACCTTATTCACACTCAGATATGCCTCAATAAACTCTTCACCGAAATCATCTCTTAAAACTTTATTTTCTTGAAGTGCTTTCCTCGCCTCATCGATACTCAACGGCATCCTATTTACTACACCGCACTTTTTCCTTTCTGCCTCTGACAAGTCGCTCGCGACTATCGAAGATAGTCCAACAGAGGTGAGTTTGGAGCGATTGTAGACCCCCGAGAGACCCGCGGAAAGGAGAGCGGCGATAGCGAGGTATGGCGAGGCAGTTCCGTCGACGGACTTGATTTCGAAGTGATAATCTGTCTCCACATTTTGGTTTGCATTACCCAAGGGCGGACGAGGACCACGACCGGCAAGCCGAACAGGTGCCTCACGATTATCTCTACCCCAGCATACCCACGTCCCGCCGCTCCATGCGCCATCGACCATTCGGTCGTATGACGCACGTGTGGGGAGGGTAAGCGCCGTCGCGGCTGGTAGGTGGGCCATTAATCCGGCAAGGAAGGATGACTGGAGAGGAGTGAGCGAGACGTTTGGTAGAGAGGTGGTCGGCACGGGTATGGTTAGAGAGGACCAAGAGGGTGAGGTGGATGTTAAGGAAATATGCGCATGTGCTGCGCTTCCACCTACAAACAAGGAAAGAGTTGAATGCAAACGAAGAGAAGGAAGGCAGAAACCGTACAGCTATTACTATAAACACGCGGAGCAAGCGTAGCGCGCATACCGTGCTTCGCAGCAATGTTCAGAATAATTTCACGCGTCGTAGCGAGCGCGTCGCAAGCCTCGAGAGGTGGAAGGGGTCCAGTCACAAACTCATACTGCATATCAAACATAAAAATTCAACGCAGTTCACTGCAAAAGGTAATAAAGACGATTTACCTGACCAGGAGCAGCTTCAGCATGATACATTTGCAACTCGATTCCGGCATATTCAAATGCGTCAGCGATCTCCTCTAATGCTTTCGCCTCCGGTGTTCCAGCCAAAATGGCGGAGGTTTCGGACCATCCGTAGTCATTGACCGCTTGTATGGGGTTGACTGAAGAGAGAAAAATGACTTCCGTTTCGAATCCGATGAGAAACTCGACACCTTCTGTCTTTCGAACATGTCTTTTGAGTTTTCGTTGGTTATTTATTTGCAGTTACGAAATTATCGTTATTGTTATATTTTGCATTAGTAAGCACGTATTTTCAAAGGTCCATCACAGTACTCACTCAACAATTCGACGGAGAAGTGCACGAGGACAGAACGTCGCCTCGAACGATGCCTTCTTTTCAAAGACCTCCTTCTCCTCGAGCCATCCCATCACACTCACATGTCCGGGAGCATATTGCAACAATCGAGCAGACGCGAGATCAGGAACGTAAACATATTCTCCTATCGCACCGAACCCTTCGGCCAGCGAGAGAAACGCAAGACCAAAGGACGCCTTTGTAAGCTGGATGCCTCCATGAGGATTGTATTCCACTAGATGTCCGTGCTCCTTGTTCGAATTGACCTGGCGAGGGGTCGAGTGTCCATTGGTTGTGGCGGGTGAAGAAGTTTCAGAAACCAGTTTCCGAAAATGCCTAATTGGGACGACACGGTAGCGCACGAAATTGACGAAGTCCACCCAAACAATACGGACGAACTGTACTTGCTCGTCATTCAGGATATCCAGACAGTCTGGAGGTATCGAAACTGCCTGTCCTCCCAACTTAGACATAGCTTATTATCAGCGTAGGCGCAGAAAGGAAGATAGAGATATTGCTCAGACAGTGGCCTTTTGAACGCCAATCATGGCATGGCGTGATAACGGTCGCCAAGAGCCTGCCTGCGCCCACCAAACCCGCAGCCATCTACCCTCCAGGCGATCATATTTCTGACTTTGTCCATGCGTGAAGCAGAGCCCCATTCGGATGTAGTGCGCAAGCGACCGAGATCTTTGGGCAATATCTCGGTGATTTGTCTGTCTATGTACTGGTAATTTACATGAATATGTGCAAGAAAGTCATTCGAATCTAGCATCTCACGAAGGTATAAACATGTATGTGTCAAGAAAAAGCAAAGTTATAACGTTCACGAAAGAATGTCGAAACGAAAGCGGAATCGAATAGGACATAAATGACGTAGCTTGTGTGGAGAAGCAAAAAAAAAGTCAAAAATGGGGCACGGAAGTAATCAGCTTCTGTGAGAATCTGAGCCGCAGGATCGAATATCCGGTGATATGCGGGAGAATCGAAGTAGTCTAGGCAAGATCTAGCATTGATCTATAGATTTCAATGTCTGCGCCAACCCGGCTGTATGCAGTAATGACCGCGCTTTCGGTCTGCTACCACCCAAATACCCTAGAGAGAAGAAATCTAGTTAGCATCCTTTGCTGTAAAGTGAAGTTATTCATGACACCGCGCCTTGCACATGCGAACCACCTCAAAATTCCAAAAATACCTCAAAACGAGAAAGCAAAGCAACTCACTCCTCGTGCACCTCAACTCCCCCACATTTCCTCCACGCTTCCCCGTCTACGCTTCTTGAAACTGCCTTTACGTCTTCCACCAACCCTTGCGGCCCACACACGCCAAGTGTTACACCTTTGGCTCGATCTCGTCCAAGCGCAGCAGTCAGTCGCACGAGTCCATCGAGTATTCGATCAAGCGCTGGTCGTCCGGAGTGAACGGAAAGAGTAGGCGCGAGCGATGAGAGGTATGCCGCCGTTGACGATGGTAACCTGGAAGAAGAAGAGGGAGCACGAGAGTAGAAGATTGAAATCTTGAGTAGGATCCCTTGGAGGTTTGTTACTCCGTCGATCAAAGCAGAGAAGGTTGGGAGGAGGGGTCCTATAGAGGCTATTTCCACAACGAATACAACTATCAACAAGATCTATCAACTTGGTATAAGGAGACGAACCTTGGTCTTGTGTGATCCACACGATCTCAATAAACCTGAGACTAGATTTACCCGCCTGAACGGCTTGTACAAGTTCTTCAGCTTGACTCAAAACAAATGTAACACCACTTCCGCCACCGACGAGCATAACAGACGAGAAGCTCGCTATCATCATATGTCCCAACCCTCCTGCCATCCACAAAGGGTAAGGTCAGAGTCAGCGGAATTAAGTCACAGTAAATACACACCGTATGGCCCCTCGACAATTACTCTTATATTACGAATCGTTCCATATCCATCCTCCGTTGGGTAGTATCCCGCTCGTCCCGCAATATCGTACAATCGTGAGGTCCAATTCCCGGCCTTCTTCACAAGTAATGTCAAACCGCGTTTCTCCGCCGACTCACCCCCAGGAGCGTTTGCTACCGTGAATGGATGTGCAACAGTGCAAGCAAGCAACCCTATCTCGGTGGAAAGGATGCGTACTCGCACATGCTGGCCTGCTCTCCAACCACGCGTAATTGCGGGTATTTCGAGACGCACGAGCCCCAGTTCTGGGACAGTTTTGATTCGTGCAACACAAAATCGTGTTTTAAGAAGCCGCAGCAGGTGATCAAGTGCATAGATACACGCGCCGAGCACGACCCATTTAATACAAACCTCTCTGTGGAAGCAAAGCTATAGCACGTGGTTAACAGGTGGAATTAATAATGGAAGGGGAGCACTTACTGCGATAAGGAATAACGAGTAACCAACAACGTGGGAGAATAGAAAGAACGTATAAGCCTTATTGCGAACCCAGCCTAACGATGCGAAGAAGAGAATCTCGATGCCAGCCAAGGCAATCGTGCCGTGAATCACAAAGTCCTTCTCAAACTCCTCTGCAAGTATACCCTCGATTGCCCACTTGTAAACTAGTGCATTTTGTCAGAGTTCAGTCGTAAGTACAGAAGTATTCTTTGATAGACATACTAAAGCCGATAGCATGAAGATTTGCAGTGATGAAAGAGACGATGCCAATCCATCTGTGTGCAAAATTCAACTGCAGGAACCAGGGAGGATCAATTGTATGATCAAACCGAAGTAACAAAAGCAAGAACTCTACCTTTTCATAGCCCATGCCAAGGAGCATACCAATTACGTTATTCTTTGTCGCAAATACGATAGTGATCGGAATTAGTGCAGTCGCAAACCATCCAAGGCGAACAGATTCTGTCAAGGGATTTCCATCCTTGATAAACTGGAGCGCGATTACAGCGGCGATGAAAAGCAAGGCGAGAGTCAACTTCCCGACCGACTTCCCAGGAGCAACGCTGTACGAGAAGAAGGATAATGCAGGGTAGAGTAACGTCGAAAACGCCGGAACATGCGGGGGTGGACTCCCCCTGCCGGTGTATATGCGGTCACCTTTCCTACCCTTCTCCATCGAATAATCGTGCACAGCAAGCGTGTGTGAGTCGTCCGTCCTATAGTCTCTAAACGTCGCATCGGTATTCTGGCGGCGCACACGCACTGGAGTCGTCAATGGGGGTGATGCAGACCTATTCCTTGCAGCTGACCCGCCGTAAAGTAGTTGACCACGCGCCCATTCCGAAGGACGAGAGAATCGAGCAACGATGCGAGGCAGAGCTAGGAGGAAGAAAAGGGCAATAACGCACAAGAGAGCGATATCAAACCAAAAGACAATGAGCTCGTTTGGGTCCATGCCAGCAGACTCTGCCTGGCTGCTTCCAGCCCCAGTGCCTACAGAAGCATTAGAGGAACCGGAAGGAGGCACCGAGCTCGCAGCAATGGCAGAACGCGTCGCGACCGTAGGAGTTGCAGAATCATGAGGAGCAGCAGAATCCGTCGAAGAATAGGCGATTATGGCGCTCATCCGGTAGGTTTCACTAGTTTGTGTGAGTGAGACCTGTAAAGGAGAGCGTGTAGCAAACGAAGGATAATCAAATAGCAGTTAGCATGGGAGAAGAGTATGCGTAATGAACTCGGGATGGAAGCAAAGAGTGCGAAGTTTTGAAAAGCGGACGTGAGCAAGGAATGCGTTTGTTGAACGAACCACACCGAGGACATGTGCAGTTATCATATATAATGTCAGACCAGAAGCATATCAAGTGACACGAGGCCGCAGCGGCCGTTGCTTTTTGCATTTGTTGTATGAATGTTGCAAAGTATTACGGAACGCGCAGCAGATAAGTAGGCCCAGAATAGAAGCGCTAGATAATTTGGTCGAATATCATCGTCACAAAGCACAGCATATGTTGAATGCAGCGAATCGATCGATATATAGAATCCAAGCTTGCTGTGCCTACTGAGACGCGCGAAAAATGAAAAGGAACCGGATGCCGTTGCTGAAGGAGCCAGAAGCCAAGTGGAATCAAAATTGATTTCGCACGACCACGTTCCCTTTGCATTTGTTATCTATTATTCGACGAGATTGAAAATGCTGACGAAATTGCTCTCTATATTCTCTGCCAAAAGTTCTTCCATTCTTCCTTGAACACCGATCAGCCTCATTTAGATAAATGAAGCGGAAATGCTGAAACAAAGTAAAAACAAGTCTGAATCAAGCCGAATTATACTTATCTAATACTTTCTTTGTTACTTCTTTCCGAGGGCAACGGCGGCCAGTCCACAACTCGAGCTGCGCAAAGCCTTGCTCGAGGAGAACATCGACTCCTCTGACTGTCTTCCAGCCTTGCGAGGATGCCGCCAATGACAACAGCGGCGTTTCCGCAGGTTTATACGCCATATCCACGACAACACCATGCTCTGCACTGAACAGTGCCTTGGTCAGGTACAGTCCATTGGATCCCTTCTCAAGCGTGGTTGCGGATCCGGGGATGGTTGAGATAACGACCGCCGGAGCCGCATCTGAGAACGAATCCAAGTTATCCAATAACACAATATTGTATTCTGGGAATGCGTCACGGAGAGCTTCCGCAGCACTTCGAGTCCGGTTGTAAAGATAGATCCGGCCTACCCCAAGCGAGTGCAGTGCGTATAGTGCGGCTCGCGATGTTCCTCCTGCCCCAATAACGAGACCTGCCGCCGGTACTCTGCCATCGCCCGGAAGCCTTGCCAAGACAGTGCTGCGGATTCCAATCCAGTCCGTGTTATCACCACGCAAAATTCGCTTGCCACCAGGATCTGTTTCCGCGATGATCGTGTTAACAGCACCAATGGCCTTCGCGTCCGCAGTTAATTCATCTAGTAGAGGCATGACTGCAAGCTTATGTGGAATTGTTACTGATGCGCCACCGAAGGACGGAGATTGCAGCAGGCTTCGAATAGACTCATCCACCTCCACCGTCTCAAATAAACTGTACGTATGAGGTAGGCCCAGCGCCTGGAAACCTGTACTGTGCAGCGTGGGTGATGGCGATTGGCTGATAGGTGTTCCGAACAAATAATAGCGTTGAGCAGGAAGCTGTCCGATAAGGTGCAATGCTGTCTGGATTTGCGCGAAGGATAGTTGACCAGGCGCAGCGCTCACCGACATAAGAGGATGCGTAATTGGACTTAATGTACTATTGAGAATACGAGACAATTGACCTTCATATCCAGTATTAATCGCAATGAAGGGTTTTGCGTCAGGTGTTGCCTCGACCGACCGAACGAAGTCGGCCAACGCGAAGTTATCTTCAAGTGACGTTGCCTTTCCAACTATTTTGACGATATTGCCTAGTTCTTTGGCCTGCGCATATTTTTCCTTCACTTGTGGGCCGTCCCATTTCATGTTTCCACTCCAGTCGTGCCATGATGCAATGATCTGCGAGTTTCCCTTGCGCTGCGCAAACTCACGGATTCGTGCGTCGTTCCAAGCCAGCTCGACGTCGATATACTCACAGCCCATGCGCACTGCGACATTGAACAGCGCAAGCGCTTCAGCTTCAGCTCCATCTGGATGCGAGCCACCCTGTGATACACTCCGAACCGTGAAGACAATAGGCAAGCTTGTTTTCTGCCGGAGTGCTGCGAGTTGCTCAATCACGTATGCCGTCGGCGGGATGTAATTTCCCCTCGTCTCTACGTCCTTCGGCACCCGCAGGAGATCGACGCGTAACTCGATTGCATCTGTCCCAGCCGTCAGTTCATCAATGTGCGGAAGCGCAGGCGTAACACCCGGGTATGTAAGCGAGAGGAAGTAAGAGCGTTTTCCACGAGCAACATTCGCCGAAACATTGCGCTTCACACCAGTAATGTGGTGGAAAAATCGCGTGACTTCCGTGCGGTACTGCGAAGCCGTTGGGCTCGCAGACCCTATTGCGTTGTCGTCTAGTGAGCGTGCTGCAACATGCTGCAGAACGCCTGTGTAATTGACGAACTGATATGTCGAGCATTCTGCAAACCATGGCTGTCTCCTCGTGCAAACATCAACGATCGACTCGCCGTATTGTGGACGAGACGTCTCTTCAGTGAGGTACTTTACCACCTCGTCCACTTCACGCACGATCTCCACTACAGGGCCTTTTGTCCTCCCGTATTCACACAAGACGTCACGCGCCGCGGGCGTCTCAACAATCCCTCCCCCAAGGCTGATGACATGGCCAGTCTGGTGTTCCGCGAGGAGAGTCTTGAGCATTTCTGTCTCTGCAGCTCGGAAGGCCCGCCAACCGTTCGCGTGAACGAATTCTCGTACACCCATCTTGTGATGTTCCTCGAAGGCATGGTCCGCGTCGAGGAAGGTCCAGCCCAGTGCTTGCGCGGCGAGCCTGCCAACAAACGTCTTGCCGGATCCGCGCATGCCAATGATGACGACGGAGGCACCAACATTCGCTGTGGCCTCCTTGCTTGGCGAACCGCTCACTGGACCTGAGACCAGCTCTACGCCTTCTACATTCAGTCCGATCTAACGACTCATTAGATCAACATGTCTCTCGCTTGTGATGCTTCTTACCTTATTTTCGAGGTCGTCCCACCAGTTAGGCCAAGTCTTCTCGACGCAACGCTTTTCTTCGATAATCGTGTTCTTGACGACCGAACCAAGCACGCTAAAAGCCATAGCCACTCGATGATCGTCGTAACAATGGATGCTGCATCCCTCTTTCAGCTCTCCGACCGGTCTTCCGTAGACCTCCAGTCCGTCATCTAACTCCTTGGTCTCAATACCGAATTTAGCTGTAACACCATCAGATTTGCTTATTCTTATTAATAATCATAAGTCACGTACCAAGTTGATCGATCATTGCCCGAATACGATTGCACTCTTTAACCCTCTGGTTTGCAATGCCTAGAATGCGCGTTGTAGTCATCGGACTTCCATCCGTAAGCGTTCTCTCTTTCAATGGCTCCTTGGTTGCAATCGCTGCCAGGACCGATGCAGTTAAGAATGCATCTGTCATCGGTTCCATGTCTACCATACCCAACGCACGGAGCTGTCCAATTGGTGGCCCCGTTACAGTCGTCGAAGTCCCAGTCTGGACAACCTCGCATCCCATCGGTTCAAGTACATCTTTCGCAAAGCGTGCATCACCCTGGAGGCTCGCGCTTCCTATGTTTTCTACCGTGCACGTTGTACCCGTCGCTGCAGCAACCGCAAGCGGATAAGTCGCACTGCTCGCATCACTCTCAATCGCATATGACGCTGGGTTGACGTATCGCCCACGTGGAATCGTGTATACGTCGAGTAATGCGCCAGTGTTGGGATCCGTGTGCCGCTCGACCACGATTCCGAAGGATTGCATCATTACTATCGTCATGTCGATATACGGCTGCGAGATAACAGCTCCGCCTGTGAGCTCGAGCACCACCGGTTCCTTCGCGTAAGGCGCACAAAGCAGAATAGAGCTAACATATTGCGACGAGACGGATGCCGCCAGTCGGATACGTCCGCCCGGGAGACCACCAGGCGCAATGGCGAGTGGAAGACAACCTTCCGATTCCTTGAAGTCCACGGAGCACCCATTCTCACGCAAAGCGGAGACGAGTGGTCCGACAGGACGTTGTTTCATGCGAGCGTTGCCCGTGATGACCGTTCGTGTCGTGTCGGTACTTTGCACAAGTGTGCAGACGGTTGTGAGGAATCGCGCTGCAGTACCCGCATTGCCCAGGTAAACTTCTTTACCTGGCGGAGGCGGAGAGAGCGAACCACCGCCACCCTCAACGACAAGCGTCTCGCCGCCGTCTTCCCACGAGAACTTTGCGCCTTTGAGATCGATCAAGGCATTCATCATAACCTGAGTGTCGTCTGAATGCAGGAGATTCGTAAGCCTGCATGTTCCTTCTGCTAGTGCTGCTAGGAGTAGTGCACGGTTCGAAATGCTCTTTGAGCCCGGCGTCGCCATCTTTACGGGATGGTTTTTCGGTACCGCAGGTACGACTTTGGCTGCTTCTGATAGAGTTTTCCGGATCATGTCATCGGGCACAACACTAGCCTTCTCTTCAAGAGTCTTCCCAATACGCTGCAGGAGAACAATTTTCTTTGCCGCTCCGCTATTCTTTTTATCAATAGCCATAATGTCTAACAATCTATCCACGGTGAGAAGCTTTGCCTGAGGTAGCGCAGCTATGCGCGGATCTGAAAGGCTCGTTGGAAGGTTGTATGCTTTCAAACAACGTGTGAGACGTCCGACAGCGACCTGACCAAGGACACCGCGCTGGCGCGCAATCTCCGCCTCAAGCACCATTCCGATTGCAACACATTCGCCATGCAAGATAGCAGGAGTCAGTACCGCTTCAATTGCATGGCCAATTGTGTGACCAAAGTTGACGAGATTGCGAAGTCCGGTTTCACGTTCATCAACAGTGACAATATGCGCCTTGACGCCAATTGAACCAGCAATAACGGAAAGCAACAAAGCTCGCGCCGAGGCATCAACGGAACGGGATTGAACTGCAGCGAATATCTCCGCGGAACGCGACTCGAGTGCGCTAAATTCGTCTTCGTTCCAAATCGCTGCAGTCTATATAAAACGAATAAGCAAAGTATATGCGCATATAAGTATTTATAAGTGCTCGCCTTGATGACCTCTGCCATGCCGTTTGAGAATTCTCTTGGTGGAAGCGTTTCAAGGAAGGCAGCGTCGATAAAAATATATTCGGGCTGCCAGAAGGCGCCGATGAGGTTCTTTCCGTGTGGAGTATCGATTGCAGTTTTGCCGCCCACACTTGAATCAACCATAGCAAGCAACGTAGTCGGTATTTGGCAAAACCGAAGGCCACGCATACTATGAATAAACAAGCATTAGCTTCTAATTTATGAATAATTCTAAGAATATTTTTGGAAGCTGTGCGATCATCACATATCCCGTCCCGTCCTCTGGGTATTCTTGTAGATAGAAAAAAAAAATAGACTCACAAGGTTGCAGCAACAAAACCGACTAAATCGCCAATAACACCTCCACCGAGGGCAAGAACGACGGTATCGCGGGTACACTTCTGTTCCAGTAGATAATCTTCAATTTCTGCCTTTCCCTTCCTGCTCTTCGACCCTTCACCCGGTTCAACGAGATAGCCCAGGAACCTCGAACTTGTACCCTTTCCCTGTTGCTTTTGGCGGAGGAATTCATCGTCAAATCTCGAGAGGTAATGAGAGCCAACGACTGTATCTGTGATGAGGACATAAGTCGACGACGGAAGTGTGTCCAAGACAGTTTGTACAATGTGCGGTGCGAGGTGAAAACCGCAATGAATGGAGTCTCGGCCTAGGATAGACACCTTCTTAATCTCGACTTCCGCCATGCTGTCACCGGTCCGGATAAGTTGTCTCAAGGACGTTATGCACAGAGAGTAGGACAATGACAACGATGGTCCAGAAGAACGTGCGTGTAGAGGTAAAAATTATCTTGTCGTTGCAAAGCCGAAATTTCCGAAGTAATCTACTATTCAAAACGGTTCGCTTTTATATACTTATCAACCGGTGTCCCTCGCAGAAGGCTGGACTCGCGTAAAGATGCGTAGAGGTCGCAGGAACAACGTCGGCAGACAGTCTGGAGCGATGCTGCTGAGGATGATCATCTTGATATAGGATAGCCCAACACTTGCGGTCAACGGTCGCGAACTACATATCCCGGATATGGAAATATAGTCTAGAGAATTTTGAGCGGCCGCATTTCACTGCAATTCACTCAGCGTTTGTCTCCGAGACATAAGGAGCCTTTTACACTCGAGATCGATTCTTGCAATTTTCATAGTCTTCTGTTGCGCTAATCAGCGAGAAAACGAGTCTACTCAAATATTCACCACGCCATAGTTGCTCGACTCAAGTATTTCCTTACTATTATATAATTGCTTGAGACAGATTAATGTATATTATCTCGGCCAAATCATCCCAACGAGTGCAAAACACATCAATCCGATCGTAACACTTTTAACAACCCGTTCAATCCTGTCCTTCCGCCTTCGTATTCGTCGTCTCCACTTCGATATCAAAGTTGCGAGAGACGAGGAGAATCGAATACGTGTGCCTGTTCGACGCATGATGAAGTCGTTATCTGAGTTTTCGGACGCGACTCCAAGTTCAATATCGTGCGAAAATTCCGGGCGGTCGTCAGCTGTGTAGGCATCCAGCAAGGAAGATTCGTTGGCTCGTGTCGACCCGCAGAGGTCGATCAGGGCCGAGAGAAAATGTGATCCGTCCAGGAATGGTAAAGCAAATAGGTTGAAGATGTACAGCGAGAAGGATAGGGTTGATAAGTAGCTGGATTAGAGGATGTTAATAGGTCCGACGGGTCAATAATACAGAAGGTATCACCTAAAGAATAGTGACAAAGAGTTGGGAAGCCAGAGAGGAAGAATTTGATGACGAGGCGACAATGAACCCACTTTCACTGTTTCGTTGTTGAAAATACACAGGAAGTACGCGTTAATCAAGGCTAAGCAACAAAACAGATAAATATTAACGAACCCTGTTCCCAAACCTCTTCCCTAGGCCCACTCCATAATACAGTTCTAGTCTCATTATTCACCTCTTTGGATGTCAAATCTATTTCCCAAATCGGAGGAGAAACTCCAATGCGAAGCAGTTGGGCACTCAGGTCTGGTCGAACGCATTCTTTCGGCTTCCCCATTGCGTCTTGCTCGGCAGTATGCTCGTCACAATCTTTCGCGGAAAAGCACCTCCCAGCAGGAGACGTAGATGGATTTGGAGACAAAATAGGAATAGGGTCAACACAACGTCCTTGCCCATTCCCAAAAGCTTGTATTGGGACAAAGCATGAGAGCTGCGCTGCAGGCGGATGCGCCGGAATGCCTTTCGCGACTCTTGAGTTGCAGCAAGTCATCGGTTGGTCTGTCATTGAATAGGATAATCAATGATGGAGCTTTTGAAACGTCGTTCTCGATGTTTATGGAATATACTTACCGGAAAAAGTGTCACTGTCAATACACCACCCTTGTTCTGCGATGAGGGGATCATGCCTGAGAAGAAGTTGCGACCACAGGTCTTCCGGAGAGGTTTGTCTACTAGTATTTGTGGTTCCGAGGGCAACGTCGTCGAGGCTGACGATAACATTGCCCGGTTGCAGGTAGTATGTCAGGGGAGATCCCTAAAGATTCGAACAATAATCATTTAAGGTTTAAACGAAGAAAACTAAGATGGGTTTTTACCTCTTCGATTTCAAGGACGACAAGGCCAAAATCACTCGCGTCCCTATATCCGAGTGCACTCCAAAGGGAAGAAAAGTTCATGAAGGATGCCAGGTATATTGTTCCCCACAGTAGAAAATTATGCCAAGCGCCCGAAGCGATGACACGTAACCTGGAGGTTTCCAACGCCATAGAATCCATAGAAGATGAGAAAGACACGAATGCGGAGGGTAAGACGACAGTTAGTGAGGCCCCTACTGCTTGGAGCGGTAAACCCTCTCTATTTTACGATGACTTAGGCGAGAACGACTGCGAACGTGGTAGAGACTCTTACATCGCGCCAGCTATTGCATGCCCTGCTTCGTGTAAACATTGTGCTGAAAAGAGAGCGAGGAGGATGAACCAAATATGGGACTGTGGAACTGTTACGCCTGGTATCTGAAAATGATGAGAAACTGAAATGACCGTACAAGTATTCCTTACATACGATTAAATTAACAGCCAGAGTGGATGTTTCGCCCATCCCAGAGACCTCAGTAGCTCTCTTCATTAGTCTATGCTGAGATACTTCATGATTCGAAAGGATGACTGAGAGAAATTGGGTTGAAGCGTATACAAGTACACCAAATCCCAGCAAAAAGCCCAGAACACCAAAAGCAGTTCCGACGTCATAAAATAGTTTAAGAGCACTTCTAACCATTCGTGCCGAAGGATTCTCGAGCCTTGCAATTAAACCATCATGCAGAGCATTTAACACACCCGTTCGAACTTCTAAGTGAAAGTTTCTAAGAGTGATTGCTAGCGCTTTGCCCTTTGAGAGTGATGCCCTAGGAGGCTTGCTACCCGTTGGAAGAAGACTCTGCGATGACGAATTGTATCTGTACGCGCGAATGCCATAGATGACAGCCCAAAATACGAAGAGGGACCAGAAGAAGGAGCTCATCCCAATTGATTATTGCGCTGCGCATGGATGGTCTGAGCAGAGAAGCAGATCACGTGGAGAAGAGTTTACGATTTGTCTCTGTTTATACATACATAAGTACAATATGTTTGCCTCTGTGCTATTTTACAGAAATTGTATTTCATTGGACATACCCAATAAGTCTTGTGCAATTGACCTGGGATACACCTGTGATTCGCTTGTCAAATGATACCCCTTGCTCAAAGCATTCTGAATTTCTGAATGGCCCTATCGGAAGAGTCGGAACGCTGAGTCACATGACTGAGCTGTATCGACCGCTGCCGTTCCGCTGTCGCGAACGAATGATGAGACTCATTGAGAGTTTGCTGCATGTGAATGCTGGTACTAGCTAGTAGGTCAGTCGTCCCGAGTCTATGCCTTCGGGTTCATACTGTGGAGGTGCCCCAACCGGTCACTTTTGAGCTATTTTTCATATTATTACTTACTACAACTGTTTTATAACACAAAAAAATTACAATTATATATTACAACATCTTAACTAAAAAATGTTGGTTTTATTTTTATAAAATATTAAAAAATAAATATTTCATTGATTTTACAAAATGATAAGTCAAAAAGTAAGATTTGACGCGTCTGACCCACAAGTGGACACCCCGTGGGAAAGGAGACTTAGGCAGATCTGCACGCACATAGACTTAGTACGCGGACTCGACTTTAATCCTATCAGACCAATTTACTTTTGTCTGGATAGAGATGAAGATAATTACATTATAGAATTCATTTACAGTCTATTTATTAATGGAATATACAGTTCTTTTTACAGGAACAGGCTTGTCGTGATGACTTGGAGTCTCTTGCCTACGTTCTGCCATCTGCTGCTTGCTCTCCTCTGCTGCTTGCTCTCCTCCTGCTCCTCTGCTTCCAGAATTCGCTGCTGTTCCTCTGCTCTGCCATCTTTCTCCTTCTGATGCCTGGGTTGTCAAGTTTGCTCAGCGATCTCTCTCTCTTTGCGCAGTCGCAAGCGTTCTGTCATCTCACGTCAATGCTGATTGAGCTCTTCCTCCTTCGCTGCAATCTTGCACTCCTTCTGCTGTCGCAGTTCCACTACTTGCTGATGCCTCGTCTGACTGCTCCTGAGAGATGGATTGATGTTGATTATGGACGTCGGCCAGGACACTTCGCAGGCCTGTTTGGACAACGAAGTCCCATGTCTGAGGAAGGTTTGGTGGGTAGTTACTGGTGTACACGTTCTCCTTCTCACTCTCCAAATTAATAACTTAATATAAATTCAAATAATTATTTTTAAGTTATAATTTTTTTGCAAACATATACTTCTAATACATATAATAATAAATATTAACTTTATTGTATAAGTCTTAATAGTATAGCTTTGTATAAAAAATTATAAAGTTAGATATTAGTAGAATAATTCTTCTAATGTAACAGAATAAGACTAATAGCGATATGCATTATAACTTGCTCAAAACGTTATCGATCTTTTTGCAAAAAAACAACTATATACTATACATACTAATACACATAAATGTAAATTTACAGTACGATATTTTCATTATTTGAATTAATATAAAGTATACAATGTGTGGGAAAGGATTTAGAGCATCAAAAAATTCAACTTTTTGTGGTCTTCGGATTGCAAACATAATATCTTTTTTTCTACTGATTTATTTGACTCAAAATTTCATACTTATGTCAATTAGATGTCTAGCTACATATATACAAAATTTCATGAAGACTGAATGAGAATTGGAGGAGTAATAGCAAAATGTCCGGTTGTAGGTCATGTCCGCAAGGGGCACCGCGACAGTATGCAATTAACCCCGCACCTGTTCTCCGTGCTCCGCGCTGCTCGCTGGATATCGGGAGCGAGTCAGTGTCCTTGAAATGAGATGACCAATGAGGACGGGTCTGTTCGGCAGACCGGACCAATTCACGCGCGACTGGAGCAGCAAAATTAGCGTTTGGCGGTGTTGGCCCGTTGTCTCTTCGTTGATGTAAAACTGCACGTCTAGCGTCATAGCCTCTCCACCTTCTCCTCCTCCCCCTTCGCGTTGCGCACATGCATTCAGTGTGCTGTGAGTAGGCACAAGCGACCAGTGCTCTTATTCTTCTTCGTGTACAGTACTAACATCCCTGTCCCCCCAGCACGCTCACTCGTGGCCGCGGCTCGTCGCACTGCTCGTCCGACGTCATCCGCGCTACTCGGGAGGAAATCCCTCCAGCTTCGTTCTCGAAATTTTTCCTCATCGCTGCGCCTGCTTGCCGACGCTAGGCCCATTGTACGTCCTCCGCCACAGCCCACCTGGCTCATTCATTCGCTTCCGAGCTAATCGTATTGTCAGACTGCATCTACGACAGCACCACCAACACCCCCTCCGCCTCAGACGAACGGCAATGGCAATGGCAAGAACACAAAATGGCGATCGTTCCTTCAAACAGTTGGACGCATCACCGTCGTGACCCTTGTTACCACAACTGGTATCTTTGTATACCTTGCTCGTAAAGATAAGCATCCCGGTGAACAACTCCCATTTGACGAGTCAAAGAAGACAGTTGTCGTACTTGGAAGTGGTTGGGGTGCGACAAGCTTCATAAGGTCACTGGATACAGAGGATTATAATGTGGTAAGTGAATATCCCTGGCGGGAATATGTCTTTCGAGCAACTTGATTAAAACTTACAATACTAACGCTTGACTTTAGATTGTCGTGAGCCCCAAAAATTACTTCCTCTTCACTCCCCTTCTGCCTTCCGTTGCTGTCGGAACTATCAGCCCACGTTCAATTGTCCAACGTATGTACTTCATCCGAATTTAGAATAGAAGCATTTCTTACGATCGCAATTATCTTTATCCCCCCCAGCGACGCGCTATATCACGCGTCACAAGAAACGCATCGTCTCCGTCGTCGAGGCTGACGCGCAAGACGTCGATCCCGTCAAGAAGACTGTCAAGGTCTCTGACACATCCGAGATCCGCGGTAAAATCTCTACACGCGAGATTCCATACGACTACCTTGTCGTGTCTGTTGGCGCCGAGGTACAGACCTTCGGAATTCCCGGAGTGAAAGAACATGCGTGCTTTATGAAGGAATTGCACGATGCCGAGGAGGCACAGCGGCGCTTCATGGATTGCATGGAGACAGCTGCATTCCCAGGACAGAGTCCTGAGGAGATTGCGCGGCTCTTGCATGTCGTGGTCGTTGGTGGTGGGCCAACTGGCGTTGAGCTTTCTGGAGAACTGCATGATTTCCTTGAAGACGATTTACGTGCATGGTATCCCGAACTAGCAGGCAACGTACGCATCACACTTGTCGAAGCACTCCCAAGTGTACTGCCCATGTTCAGCAAGCAACTCATCGACTATACCGAATCTACATTCAAGGATGCTAAAATTGACATTCTCACCAAGACCATGGTTAAGGGCGTCAAGGAGCAAACTGTACTCCTCCAGATGCCCGATAAGACACTTCAGGAAATGCCATATGGGATGCTCGTCTGGGCAGGTGGGAACAAAGCGCGTAAAGTATCTTTGGACTTGATGGCCAAGTTCCCCGAGGCGCAGACGAACAAACGCGGACTTTCAATAGACGATTATCTCGTGATGAAAGGTTCGAAGGGAGATATCTTTGCGATTGGAGACTGTACGGCGAGTGCGTACGCCCCGACCGCACAGGTTGCGAGCCAGCAGGGCGCTTACCTTGCACGCGCGTTCAAGCAGATGGCGAAGCGTGATACACTTGAGGCGCAGCTTAGTGAGGTGAAGGCGCGGGCACAGGCAGAAGAAGGTGCGGAAGAAGTGACTAGAATGGAGAAACAGTTGGAAAAAGCGAAGAAAATCAGACCGTTCCACTACTCTCATCAGGGGTCATTGGCTTATATCGGATCGGAGAAAGCCATTGCAGACTTGTCATTTTTCAATGGAAATGTACGTGTTTTTCCCCACTTGCCCTGGTCATGTAGGTTATCTGACACAGGATTGTTTGCTCCTTGTGTACAGATCGCTTCTGGTGGTGTTGCGACTTATCTCTTCTGGCGAAGTGTATACCTCAGCACTCTCTTTTCGTTGCGAAACCGTGCGTTGGTTGCCAATGATTGGTTGAAAGTGACGCTCTTCGGGCGGTACGTACTTTTCGTTCCTCATTTCCTTTTCCTTTGTGGCTAAATCATTTACTCATCAGGGACGTGAGCCGAGACTAAGCGGAGTGATTCCACTCACAAATGATCGAATGAGCGAAGTGATGAATTTTTCCTGCTAGAGCTCCGACCGGTTGTCCAACTTCAATACGGCTACGAATAGATTACAGATAGACAGACATTCAAATCTACTTTACACATACGAGTTTATATTTATTGATTCTCTGGTGTCTCTTTCGTTCTCAACCCTTCACCTTCGCACTCTTGAGCCACTTTCGTTCCTTATAGATGTCCATTTTTTTCTCTACTTCATGGTCTCGTGTCAGTCCTCTCCTCGCCATCTCCCTCGTACTTCAGTATCGTTTTCGCGAATGCTATACAGTCGACTTGGGCTGAGATCCTGTAGTAAGGCAGCCTTTGAGGTGAAGTAGACTGCGTTGCTCAGTTCATTAGGTACACATAAATGCATGAAACAAAAGACAGATGTTGGGCCTTACTTATACTCTGACTACTTGTTTCCAACGTACATTTGATGTATCCCACCGTGCAATCGTATTATATTCATTACCTTTATAGTAACTCTACAAAATTACGTCCACAATCACCTTTATCTATGATTCAGGGATTACTCACCGGGCCAAAAAGATTGAAAACCAAGAGTATCAGACACCTAAATTGCACCACTTCAACATGATTAATCATTTGAAGACTAGTATGAGTTCACCTACAAAGATAAGCAACGCTGGTACTAGCAACCTAGCTGAGAGGAGTACTTGTTGTCAATTACAATTTCATGCCAAAGGCCGTACTGACACGCACAGCATAGTCAACTTTACAACAACAATTCTCAAGCGCCCAGGAGGACTGTCAAGGGGCAAAAGGTGGCAAAAATACCAGACAAATTTTCCACCCGATTTGCACGGGTCCGAGACACCCGCGAGTCATCTATGATTATCTATGACCACAAGGTACTTCGCCTTGGAACTTCTCTCCATCGCGCTCCTTTGCACACGCACCGCCCCAAGCAGCGGTACTCGGTCCCGTCATCTTCTTTTCCTTTCTCATGTACTCTTTGGTGTCCGATAGTACCTCAAGCTCCCTGTCAGGCAAGTAGACACGTCCTGGATATATCGTGTTTTTGCGGTTTTCTATTTTCTTAATTACCCTGGACGTCCAGTCGATCTAGAAATTTAATAGGAATTGTCGCTATTGCTAAATAGACATGTGGCGATTGGTCGGTATACACAGCCGCGAGGGACCAGAATTAAGTGGATTTGTGGGTCCAAATATTGCCCAAAGTCGGTATTGCAATTCACCGTCGATCATGGGCATTTATTTACCATCTCAATTACTTGGAATAAAAAAGATATATAATTAATTAAATATTTGTTTCACTTGGTGAAATCTCAATAATTGTAAAGTTAATGCCGTGTCGTTTTTTAGACTGGTCGCATGCAGGGCATGATGATGATGATGATGATGATGATGATGATGATGATGAATATTTTATCATTATTGACAGAGCTGCTTGGGAACGTTGGATATACCACTATTTACGTCGCTCAAAGCAAGGTGACTATGCAATTGATAGCACGCGGCACACGCCGAAGACCTCTTGCAGATGATCTAGTCTCAGTTCATCGGTATTTCTAAATTCTAATGCAAGGAAGGCACTGCACGGTGCTTATCTGTTCAGAACATATTAGATGCCATCTATTCAAACATTAGTACCACTTTTTATATATGCTAAGTCCCAGAATTGGGGAATAAAAGATGTGTGTTTTAATTGTGTAGTGGGCCAAGAGCAAGGAGCTGGACAAGTTATTCGCAGTGCAGCTACTAAAGCATTATAAAGTGATACAGAAGTAGATACGCCTCACACTTTAAAATTAGGTCCGAAAACCACAGCCTCGACGTACACCAATTAAGATGTAGGGAAAAAAGTCCTTCAGGTCCTGGGAGAAGTAGAGTGAAGAAAGACAGATCGCATGATGTTCCGATGATAACTGGCCGAGCGTGCGCTCGTGTATGAGATCGCCGAGTTCACGAGCGACAAACTCCGTCAATGTTGAACCCGATATCATAGGAGAAGGCGCGTATCAGGTGATGGAAGGGATACTAGGGGTGTGATGATTGGAAGATTTTCTTCTGGAGAGACCGAGCGTTGTCTAATAATGGAGTACTCTTCGATATTCACGGAGACGGAGATGAACAGAGTGCTTTGGAAAGATACACCATCATAACTTCTGCCAACATTTTATGAGTATCTCTTCCTGAATCCTTCTTAATAGCTTGCACTGTGCAGTACAAGTACGGCAGCAGGTTGATGGCGATCGGGACGATCAAGCGGAGTTCTAATTTGAGCGACCAGGAGCGCATGTTGCTGTTCGACGCAGTTGATTACGTTCCATTCCTGAAGGCTGTTGCCCTTACCGTCTTCAAGCTGCTGGACTGTCATTCGAAGACTGGATCTTAATCATGCTCTTCTGTCAACTCTGCATTGCTTACCCACACTTTGTCCCACTCACTGGTATTCGATGCCGCTGTCCTAGTATCCTTCCTAAATCATCTTCTGTTCATCTTGCTTTCATCCGTACCACTTGCCTTCTTCCCACTGAGCTCTTTTTGACATGGGAATAATCTTTTAGGAAGATAAACTTATCACCCTGTGCCTGTCGTGGATTGCATCGCAAGAGCGAAGATTGCAGTTGATCTATTATCGCTCCGAATATGGTTGCTCGGCGTGTTCCCAGTTCGAGCACGCTCCGAAAAGCTCGGTTTTTGCATGCCCTGGCGATCGTGTAGATTACTTCCCTGCAATTGTTGGACATAACTAGTGCGAAACGAACGCGCCTCAAACAACGCGAACTAAGTTATGACTATCGCCTCGTATACCTTCACTAATAAAAGTTTAAGCTGGCAAAATTTTGGTCGCTATGATACACCATCACAACTCTAGGTGTGGCACCACTATGTCCTTGGATCGCTTGAGAACATAGCTTGTCGGAATTTCCTATGTCGGGCCCGCGTTCATGAACTGAACCGTAAACCATTATTCTGGAGCGAGCGTCTAGTCTCGGTCTCTTGAAACTGTTCTCACGTATTGTACTGCAGTGTCTCGGTACACTTTCTCATCTACCGTACAAGCCATCTGCTTGCATCTAACCAATCATTGATGTCGTGTTTGGCAGACGCTACAGGTATAAAGACGCGGTCAAAGTCGTTCTCTTTCGGTAGAAGTGAAAACACTCAAATCTGTTCGAGCTTCTAGCCGTAGAATCCCCTCACGATGTCCTTCAACAAGTTCTTTGCACTTCTAACGGTCCTCTCCATCTCCTATGCCGCACCTAACCCACAGCTTACACTTTGTCCTAATCTACATCTCGCTTCGAATGCGGCATGCTGCAAGTTTTTCGACCTCCGGGACGACCTGCAAAATAACCTTTTTAGTAATACCTGTGGAGAACGGGTTCGTGAGGCGCTTCGACTGACCTTCCACGACGCTATCGCTTTCTCGCCGACGAAAGGCGGTGGAGGAGCGGATGGCTCGATTATCACGTTTGCGAACACGGAACTCCAGTTTGCCGCAAATGGGGGCAATGGCGGTGTTGAGGAATTCGTCGCAACACTGACACCATTCGGCCCGAAGCACAATGTTACTCCTGGGGACCTAATCCAGTTCGCGGGCATGCTCGGCATTACGAACTGCCCGGGCACACCGCGCGTTCAGTTCTTCGCGGGAAGACCAGACCCAGTTGCTGCTGCTCCTGACGGCCTCGTCAACCTGCCAACAGGTAGATACTATTTTTGACTTTTCACCTTTTATTTGGCAAGTCAGTGCTAAATACGCTATTTATCAACTACCTAGATGATGTTGATACGATTCTTGCGCGCTTCAACGATGCTGGCTTTAGTGCGGATGAGCTCGTCGCCCTTCTTTCGTCACACTCGATCGCCGGCGCTGATACATTTGTCGGAGACGGTGGAGGAGACCCATTCGACAGCACTGCGCATGTATATGACAGTCAGTTTTTCGTTGACACCAGGTTGCACAATCCAGTGCCAGGCGAGGGTCGCCTGCCAACCGACAACCTGCTTGCACGCGACGACCGTACGGCATGCACTTGGCAAAGCTTCATCAATAACGAGGATAAAATGCGCTCTGCGTTCGCTGCCGCATTTTTGAAGATGTCTCTCCTCGGCCAGGACCAGTCTAAGCTTGTTGACTGTTCGGAGGTCATTCCTCGTAAGCTATGGCTTTCCTTAACTTTTTGTTCTCAAAGCTGACTGCCTACAATTAGATTCACCTGGACATGCACAGAATGCATTCTTCCCTGGAAATGCTACAATTAACGACGTCGACGCGGCTTGCACTCAGTCACCGTTCCCGAGCTTGCCGCAGGACCCAGCTATCACCTCGCTCGCTACTATGTACGTATACGGTCATACCTCTCAGCCTTTTATTATTTAATAACTGATATTCTCCTGTAGCAATGAATTCTAAGGGAGAGAGAAAGGAATCGAAGTTATATCTCAAGTCTGATCTACTTGATTGTTGTTCAGAATTTCTGTATCTATTTTGGTAGGTTTTAGTGAAAGTAATGTCTTTAGGGATGATGGTGACGGCATGTAATTATATTCTCGACGGGTGGATCCTGCTGAGTTGTAATACTATGTGATTTAACATCTAATTTGCTTTGTGATATCGAACGGATCCCATTGCTAGAATATTTTCAGATTCAAATGGTAATTAAGCCACTCTGATATCCATTGCATAAGCCATAAAATGATATAGAATAGATTAAACGTTTAAAAAAATGAGCGCATGCCTGTATGCACTTAACACGCCGAGTTCATATGAGAACCGACTGCAAGTATCAATTCTTACTATCTAAGATCCAAACCACTCCTGCTGTTAAGGTAACGGAAATTCACATATAGTTATCGGACAAATACTCGTATATTGTACAAAACCAAAGTAATCCAAGTATTGCAGTCATAAATTAACGGAGAATCGACACAAAAAATCTCGAATCACTTATTCACAAACGAATAGTCCGGTGCATTGTACGGATACTCATTGTGGTCATGAGCTGCGAGGGGCTGGGCTTCGTGGTATGGCTGGGCTTCGTGGCAGTTATGCAGGGGCTTGTACCCGCTCGAAGTGGTAGCCATCGGGAAGGATTGCAGAGAACTAAATCCAGGGTACGTCGATGACGTTTTCGCAGAGGCATTCAAGTAAGGCATTTTTAATGCTCGTTCCTCGCGAAGTTGGCCAATGTAATTCGAGACGATCAAACAGCCATCTGTAGAAATCATTGCGTATAAAGTAAGCGGTCAGTACTTCTTCCTGTACTATAATATAACCATGAACAACGTACATAGGAGGAAGAACCAGACAAAGCAATAGATTGGGATCAATACGATCCGATATACGTCATAGGCAGTGTTGCATCCGTCTCTCTTAACGGACGACCTGTCTCCATCAACGCATTTCTCCACTACACGCCTCTTGGTGTCCGACTTGAAGAGAATAAATAAATAGAAGACACCGGTGGCAATGCTCAGGGCTAGATTAATGTAAAGAAGAGTAGCGTATAGGCTGACAAGTCTGGCCCGCTTCGCGATGGCCCCGATGAGGCTGGTACAGCATGGAAATACGATGAACAAACGCACTACAGAATCAATATGAAACTTATACATACCCAAACAACGAAACGATAGCTAGCAAGGTCCAGGCAGCTGCATTAACAGCAGCTATGATTTCGTCCCGAGTTGGGGCGGTTTGAAAGGTGCCTTTATTACGAGTCGTTAGTCGACCGAAGCTGGAAGGACGTTGAAGATAGAGAAGTGCTCACCGTTCTTTGCGATCCGAATCCAAAGAGCAATGGCGACGGCCCCACCACAGAGTGCGCCCGTTAAAGTCATGACAAAAACACCGAACCGAACCGGTAAACAACAGCAAAATTTTCGTGAGCGAACAAAAACCATGTCTTGACGAAGTGTCTTGAAAAGTTGAGGAGTGAAAGCGTAGCGAATTGTTGGCAGATACACCTGTCTCAAGTCCTACATGCTTTTTATATCTTGTACCCATCAGGACCCGGGCAGATCGGCAAGCCGGAATGCAACAGACACATCCACAGCCCCTCAAGCAGTGTGTTTCGATGAGCGATGCGATACACATTAGTGCACTCCCAATGCCCTCCGTCCTTGACATGTACATCATCCCACACGAAACGGACCGAATCCTTGGGAAACAATCAGTTGTGGATACACGACGATGCACCGCTTGCTTCTATCACTCCGGCTGAGCAAAATTCCGTAGTCAACTTTGCTTCTCCATCATTCGATGCATTTTAAAGTACTCCGCTTCGCTAGAACAGATCATCGGTGTTGATAAGACTCCTTCATTGCTGATATTAAAGGTTACACCGGTACTTTAGCACAAGTATGCCAGCATTGTATCGAGTGCGCCGTGCCGGAAGAAGGGCCGGAGAAATCCTGGTGTCCACAGCTCTTGGCATAAATGCACAAGCGTTCCCAGCGTAGCTGTGTCTCTTGGTCGATGTAATACATATGAGACCAGTGGGATATTTGAGGGGATAGGTGTTGGAATGTAGGCATCATGCATTGAAAAACACGATTCAGGAACTTGTCTTGTTTTAGAACTCCTATTTTGGCTCTGGACCTTTATCATCGACTGAGACACGTAGAAGTCGCATGTGAAGAGCAAGTCCTAACAGCAACAACTTGTTCAGATTCCTTCAGTGTCAAGATGTTCGTAACGAATTCGCTCGGACGGCGGAAGTGCACATTGACTTGGGATATTTAGACCGGTCAGTGGTAGCTGTGAAATATTGTCAAAGCACTTGTGAAAGTGAAATGACCGAACACCTAAGACAGACATGGTGGTTGAAAGTGAGTTGACGTTTGTGAGTGAGAGAAAGTTATCTTCACGTGCTTCCACTTAGGCTCGTCCCCTGAGTCTGAATCTGTCTGATGAGTTTCAATCGCGTTCGCCAGATACGTGCAATACTATTCCTACTCGACGGAAGCATGGATAAACGAAGGCCTCAACATTCAAAGGAGAATATGCGAGTTTATACATTCGCTACTGAAAAGTCACTATATTGATTTACGCACTCTGAATATGGAATTGACCAAGCAGCACCAACCAGTCTACGATGATAGTAGTACGATCTATCAGGAAAAGGAAGTCAAAACTACCCAAACAAATATTTACATATATATATATATACCAAACGTCGTAAACTCTTCGAACTGTGTTCTATTCATTGTGCCTGCTGTGTCTTCAGTGTATAGGGGGGTGCGTGCAAAATCCGATAAGTACATGGCCAACCATACTAAACTTAAAGGAGCACTTGTTTCCCTTCGATACAGGGTATGCATTAGCTAAGGGTCACCATCAAACCATGAATCCATATTGGAGTATTCAGAACCTCTTCTTTTTGACATTCGTCCAGGAAGTACCATGACAGAGCTTGTCCCAAGTGACGCGTACAGGATGATCGAGAGCATCCGCCGGAATACACATGCAACTCATGTCGCAGATACCTTTTCTGTGCTGCACCGGTACCCACAAGAAGAGCTCTCCCGCATTTGTTCTGATCCATCCGTCGTCCGGCACCTTTCTCGGGGGTACGCCATCGATATTAGAACCACGGTCGTCCTCAAAGCGCTCCGTTATCCAGGCGCGAATCGTGCGGTCGTCCGAACCAGAAACGACCTTTGTTCCATCACGCGAGTACGCTACTGAGACAACTTTCCCAGTGTGGCCAATATAAGATTCTCCAACTGCTTCGCCAGATGCCGTATCCCAAATCTGAATGACTTTTTCGTCAGAACCGGAAACGAGACGAGAACCATCAGGAGAATATGCAATTGACTGCATTTGGGAAGGCTCCCCTTCGTAATCGAATAGTATTTCACATGTGCGAGTCTCCACATTCCAGATACGAATTGATCCATCAAAAGAACAAGAGGCAACGCATTGCGCATCCGGAGAATAAGCGACGGAGTATACATGATTATTGTGGCCACTGAATGGCTCCCCGACTGGATTACCGTCTTCCAAATTCCAGACCTTGACAAGGGAATTTTCTAAGCCGGAAACGAGCCGCGTTCCATCCGGAGAGAACGCGATGGACCTTACCCACGCGTCCCAATCGTCACCATCCTCAAGTAGCTCTCGTAGAAGCTTTCCAGTATCCACATCCCAAACGCGTATGGACTTATCTTGTGAACCAGAGGCAACTTTCTTGTCGTCCGGAGAAAAGGTGACAGACGTGATCCAACCTGAGTGACCGTCAAGTGTCTTTACGAGAACGCTCGATGTTTCGGCATCCCAAATGCAGACGGTCGTGTCATCCGAGCCGGAGACGAGATACTTTCCGTCACTTGAGAACGCAATGGCGTTGACCCATCGCGTATGTCCTTCAAACTTCCCGACAATTTTGCCGTTCTCCGTATCCCACAACTGGATGATCTTCTCGGTCGATCCGGAGGCAACGTGTCGCCCATCTGGTGAAATTGCGACAGACGTGATCTTGCCCTCTAGCAACTCCTCACCCTGTTCCCCTGACTCGATGTCCCAAATTCTGAGGGTCCTATCATGCGAACCAGAAATAAAATGTTTCCCATCCGGTGAGAATGCAACGGACAGCACCCAATCGGTATGGCTTCGAAGCGGTGCATCGATAGGCTTCCCAGTTTGCGAGTCCCATATTCTGACTGTGTTATCATGCGATGAAGAAACGACCAGTTTCCCGTCCGGGGACACCGCAACACTACTGACATAGTCAGTATGGCCTCTGAATGGTTCTCCTAGAGGTCTACCAGTGGCTACGTCCCAGCGACGGATTGTATGGTCGTATGATCCAGAGACAAGGGAGGAGCCGTCAGGGGAGAAAGTGACTGCAACAACCCAGTTCGTATGTCCCTCTAGAGGTTTGCCTACGGCTTCTCCTGTCTTGGCGTCCCAAATTTGAAGGACCTTCCCATCTGAAGCAGATGCGAAGTACCTTCCATCCGGTGACACCGCAACGTCCCTAATGGTACCTATGTGGTCGCCGACCGAATATCCCTGAATCGGCTCTCCAACTTGTTTGCGATTTTCTACGTCCCAGATCCGGATGGTTCTATCATTCGCACCAGCAATAATGCGCTTCCCATCGGGTAAAAACGCTAGTGAACTTATGGCCGTGTCGATCTCCATGACGTCGCCATCCGGCATACCAGATTCAACATCCCAAATCCGAATTGTTTGATCTTGGCCACTTGAAGCGAGAAGCTTTCCGTCGGGGGAAAATACAACAGATGTTGTCTGTCCGGTATGTGCACGTATCGGAGGAACCTTAACGTCACCTGTCTGTCCGTCCCTAATACTGATGGTCCCCGTTGTGGTCCCACACGCAATGTTCTGTCCATCTAAAGAATAAGTGACAACCCTAACCATTGCCCGTTCTGGAATTGTAAGCAAAGTTTTCGGCCAGTGCATACTTTTCCCTTCTGCTATGACTTCTTGCGTGATGAAGCTTGTTTTGGCCGTTTGCGCAAGGAGACATTCTGGAGGAAGCCAGGCCAGTGCGGAAATGTACAGATGAGGTGTGCACGTCGAGATTGCATCGTAGAATGCCGAGACAAAGCGGAACAGGTCCAATGCTATTGTTTTCAACTGTGACTCGGTAAATGTTACAATAGCCTGGGATAGGATCTGAACACCCTTCTTCAACTCTTGCAGAAGGCTCAATGCTTCAATCCAATAAAATGCGATATCGCTACGCAGTATGCCCTCAATGAACCTCACAAGCTCTTCCTGCTTCGGTACATCCGATCCTTGGAAATGGCTCATCCAGTTCAGACAGCTGTAGCTCAGAGCTCGAGATATCGTTGTAGCGACTTTCCGTTGTAAATCGGGAATATCCTCATTTGCAACGTATGAAGTTTCTAATTGGCACATATTGAACTGGAGGTTTTCCCTCATGATCTGTAGGCAGCGAGTCGCAACCTTGCTGTCGAGTTCCTCGGGCATTGTCCAGAAATCTACTGACCGCGTCTGCTGGCTCATGAAGTCAAGGAACGACGGATGACAGACACGAACCGCATTCTGCAGATCTGCATCCCTGTACAAGACAGCTTGAAGCCGTTCGACGATTCGACTGATAAGTGTTTCGGATACTTCGGGAGCGAGACTATGGAGCGCGTCAACAGTGAGGGGTACGTTCTTAGCAGTGCAGAAGATAACGCCTGTTACGGTTTTAACCAGCCACAGATTATTCGCCGAGCCACTCGCAACATCTCTTAGTACTGTCTTGTATAGCTCATCCAACGCCTCTTCAGGATTCTCAGAATTGGACGTGGAAGAGAAAATGACCGTGACGGCGTGGTCGACATCAATGTGTTTTTGAATGAAGTTGAAGACTGTGGTTGCCCAGATAAACAATCCGCAGGCTCTTTGTGCAAGGGTGACAATCTGCTCATCACTGAGCCAAGTCGGCTCTAGGGCGTTTTCCTCAGCAATTTCGTCGGCTCTGTAATGCGAATACAGGATAATATCCGGCGTCGGGTCTACTGCTTGGTTGAGATGCAATTTCTCCAACGTATCGCTCGCGGTCTCAAAAACTTGACCTAGTTCGTGCAAAGGTCTACTTGTAACCAGAAGCTTGAGCCAAGGAACCAGATTTGCAAGCCGCACGAGAACGCGTGTGAGGTGAAGTCTCTGCATCCTATTTTCCCCGCATTCGTCGAGAGCATCGATGACGATAATCAATGGTCGAGGTGTCTCGATTTGCTGATCTCCAGTCAGAGACAAGGCAGGACCCTGGATAAGGAGTTCAAACTGTTCCTGCACAGTTTTTGACGCAAGCTTGTTCTTTTCATCGCTCTGCAGGACAGCAAGTAGCTTCGCCGAATAAGGCTGGTGCCAAGCGGCAAGGTGGAATGCCAGCGACGGAATGACCTTTTCTGTGTTCCTTAAATCGGGGTCGTCCCTCTTGCAGAAGAAGCAGCCCGCAAGGAGTCGCTGACCGTCGAACGTTTGTGCAATTGTGTTGGCAATAGCACTCTTTCCAGAACCCGCAATACCATGGAGCCAGAAAATACTTTGGCTTGAAGTAGATTCTGCCCATTGTGCAATCTGCTCAAGAACGTCCAATCGGGTGCCCGGCAAGCAACATCTATCTGATCTGAAGTATTCTTTTCCAGGAGGTCCAGAGAAGGAAACCTGGAGAAGCCTTAGTATCTCCTCGTCGTGATATTTCTCTACCGAGGAGGATAAATGCTAAGAGCAGGTCCAGAAGAGACTGACATGAGGGCTCACCAAGCTTCAGGGTTGCCCGCCAAACGTCTGTCATAATACTCCAGTCGTATCTGCTTTTCACTTTCCTGAAATCCTTCTCGAGTTGTTCAATTTTGCCTCGATGGGACGAAATAAGGTCCCCTACACGAAAGTTAGCAATATCAGACTACACGGGGAAACCAGAAGCTTACCCAATATTCCACTACTGGAGTACGTTACTATAAACTCGCACGTATCCTTGAAGAGGTCCAGAAAGTCCTCGATTGCACTCCTTGCTAATTCACTAGCTAGCGTACTAGGATCGACGACCTCGGTAAAGGGAAGAAAAAGGTTCATATCTTCGATGAGATCGGAAGCATCGTCATGAAGTTGCTCTTGTTTTTCCAGCCTCTGTCTCGGACATCAACAGTCTGGACATGTGATCTGATAATCAAGTTTACCTCGTACAATATGTCAAAGGCGATGACAGCAGCCCTTGCAGCCGGATGTAACTATCGTCCTGTTAGAACTATACTAGCTTGTATATTGGACTGGATGGGTCTCACCTGAGATATGAATGTACTAAAATTCTTTGCAACCTCGATAAACTTGCGAGCTTTTCCGAGTTTTTCTAGTGCAACCGGCTTTTTTTCTAGTAGGTCCGCGGCCTCTTCAGCTCCCTTCAAAAGCACGTCACTGGCCTATATTGCATGTCGACGATATAGGGTCAATAGGTAACTTTATTTAACCCATTAAGGTACTTACATTGGCAGGCGGCACAAAAGTCAGCTTTACGGATATCAATCCATCCGAGTCTGAAGGAGTTGGGACGAAATTTTGGTAAGGGAACATATCTGCGGTTCTTTAATGAGGCACGTACCTTCCTTCGTAACAAGAACATTACGTTTGATATCAGCAGGTTCGAATTGGACAGACGCGAAGTCTTTCTTGGTCCGCCATCTGATAGTATGGGATTCTTTCACTGAAACTTCGAGGTTCGCTTTCGGGGTAAAGTAACTAGGGATTGACCGAAAAAATTATTAGCGTTTAAAGGACAAGAAAAGCAAAGGCAACGTCCGCAACGTACAAGCCAGGCTCCCAGCGCAGAATGGCATCCCCACTTTCGAACTCCTTTGATTTAGGCTCCCCGTTCGCCGCCTCGAGCTTGAGCTTAACAGGATATTTCGGGTATCGACCTTTAAAGGTAACATCTACGCCTACAAGACAATTTAGTCAGCCAGCAGTAAAACAAGAAAATGAAAGTATGTTACCTACAAGGTGAAGGAACCTAAAAGAGGGATCATCAGACCTAATTAACGACGGAAGGAAATCGTGGATTATGTAAAGTGATCGGCTTACTCAAATTGGCCGTTTTGCACATTTGGCGTTGGGGAATCCGTCATTCTGAATCGCTGGATGAGCTGCTATCGCGCGTCCACGACGAGTTGTGATTGATGACAAATGGGAGGGACACTCTAGTTATTATATACGGTATGAATTTGAAAGCGGTGATATCTCGCATATCAAAGATCAGTATCAATTCCATCTTTGTTCCGGCAAGAAACCCTGAGAGTGTTGTCGTTTCCAAGCTCCAGCACTGCGAGCCCCTGTACTGCACGCGTACTTACATAGGTTGTTCTGGTTTCCAAGTTAACAAATTATTCTTTGATCCTCCGGTAATAACTTGGCTTCCATAAATTCAGAAAAAAGGTAATTCCCTCTCGCTTGCACTGATTGCAGTGCGTACATGCGCACATACCGGATTTTACCCAGCGTGCACCGTAGTCAAAGCCATCGGCCCATCGCCCTTCCGAAATACTGTACATCCGCCTCTTCTCTACTTCCGGTTCTCCTCGCCAACATCGAAGCTACTAGTATTCGCATAATTTGAGAATATAGCATTCCTGTGTACTGCACATTGCACAAGATTCGTCCGTTGCACGTGCAGTTGCTTCCTACCTCCAATCTATGATTATGTTTTTTGACCGTTGATAAGATATCTGTCATCGACATCGATGTCGCTAACGACGGACGAAGCTGCCTCCATTAACCGCGCGTACGACGATACCTTCGTCGACTTGGTTTCTTTGAACCAATGGAAGACTTTGTGAGCACCGTGTGGATCTTCCGTGTGGGGAACTTAAAAGTAAATGTATCGTATAATTTGTGCATATACCTAGGTCGCTCTCCGCTAAGATCTTTACCGCAACGTACACGACATCAAACGCGAATACTGCGGAACCCAAGTCACTTATCATCCTTATCGCCTCAAGTCAGTTCCTTGATGTACAATCGAGCTTATTCGAGACTATTTCTTCTCAATCTGCTATCCCACTTCCGCCATGCTTCAAACGGGACGATAGTGGCACAATAATCTCGTCCCCATACGTATTATACACTCATCCGTCCGGAGTTCCGTTGAGCTCTCTTTCGACTTCTCCATCACAAGCGGAATTACAGTCAGAAAATAAAGAAGAGAAGGTAGTCCCGGATACTGTACGCATACGTGCAGCAGCAGACTTAAGGCTGGGCGTCTACCTCCACGCGCTGCATGAACTCCAAAACGACTGGTTCGGTCTCCCGTATGATAAAAAGGAATGGGAAGAATGTTATAGCTGGCAAGAAGCGTTTACTTTGCTTCTTGAGACGGCTCTCGGGGAAGTGGAGGAATTAACCTCAAAGAGACACGAGGAAAGTTCCAACAGCGATATCAAGAAGGCTGAAGATAATTGTGATGGAGGAGAGGGCCTCCCTATACCGGACTTACGTCGCTACCTAGGCCGTGCAATCGGTTTTTACCTGTTCGATGACGTAGAAGTACCCTGTCTTATCTGGTCCACTGAAAAAGAGTGGGGAGATCGCGTCTTCATCAACCTCAAGGCACCAAACGAAGGAGAAATAACAGGTATCATCGGCTGGGAAGGTGCAATATGGGGCGATCCTTTGCTGGAAGGTGTCTTCCACTCTCCCAGCACCGCGTTACTTGAAGGATATGGCGGGAGTCCCATCGTCTTTGCAAGACAGTATACGAAACGAATGTGGTATACGACGTACGTCGCCCTCAGAGATTTACTTGCGGCCGCTAGCAATGGCGACACCAGGCGTGAAGTGGAGGCTCGCGAGACAATAAAAGAGATGGCCAAGAAGCTTAAGGATGCACCCTGTTATTGATAAAAGACGGCTTTTCAGGAGGAATGTGATCAAAAGGATGGAAGAGGAGGGATAAATGTGATAGGATAATATACAAAATCATGGATTGAGGACGCTGATCTACAGAGTTGAGGGTTCTACATCGACTGTACGATAGTACTTACAAACAGTATTGCGATTCCGAAACGTCAGACAGTAAAATCTATTGTTCACCATTTAGAGCTGGTGAGTTGTGAGTTGAACCCGCCACCTGCTCTACTTTGCCATCGTGCCATTTGATAGTTACACTTCCATCCTAATGGATTCCATCAGTGCATTGACGCGACAAAGGGAAAGAAAGGACCAACAGCATTTCCGAAATAGGCTGCTTGCGCCATTTTGCAGAAAAGCCCGACCTCAACAACACCCGTCAGCATCTTAATTTTAGTCAGAAGCTGCAAAGTTGACATCACTCAGTGTTGGGTAATTTGTTTCTTTAGTTTTGCCCCATTTATTTACAGCGTACCTCATGCGGGTCACTCATCGTCTCCGGATCAAAAGGAGCATCAATGACAAAGTTACCATTGTCAGTCACAACAGGACCAGCTTTTCCTCCCTTTGCCATTCTCAATGTTGCTTGCTCAGAACCGAGCCGATGTACGTTTTGCAACAGCTTCGCGTATGCGAAGGGTGCAACTTCGATAGGAACTCCCTGTCTGTACTAAGAGAACACAGGTCCAGCGTCAAAAGGATTAATGAGTGAAAAGGGCCATACCGTTGTCCCTAGTACTTCTGAGTTCTTGCGGTAGTCGGCGACGATAATCCATGTCTCAGCAGCTTCGGCGAGTACCTTTTCTCGAAGGTGACAAGCTCCACCGCCTTTTATGCAGTTCAGATCATGGTCGACTCTGTAAAAAAAATGTAAATATTAAATAATACAACGTTGAGGTGTATCTCACTCGTCTGCACCATCAATGGTCACATCAATACTTGGATACTGGTCGACATCGCCAAGTCGTAGATTGGCTTTGACGATGAGCTCCTTCGACTGGAAGCCTTAAGATGCACGATACGTGAGGATGGTGTACAAATGAAGAAGTATATACCCACTCACCAGTAGGCAAGAAGACACGATCTTTATTCAGCTCCTTACCTTGAGCTACTATTCGTTCCACAACGTAGGGTACCGTCGAGCCTGATCCGATTCCGATTACCTTGAAGACTAGTATCAAGATGAGAAATATTGTTAGACGATCTTGAGATTATACCTTGTGTTCTGAGCGAATATGATGATCGACTGCTGTCCAAGCTGCTAGGCGCTTCGATGCCTCGATTACGGACAGTTTTGCCTCTCCATCCGACTTGACGACCACTACGTAACCAAGTTAATTTAATTTAGAGCTATAGGTCGGGCCTAGAGCTCACCCGGAGCCTTGACTACGGCTTCAGGTACACTGGCGGTCTGTGCTGGGCCCGAGGTGAAAGACGAGAGTCCCAGCGGTGAAGATGTGCTGACTGACGCCCTACGACTACCCGTGAGGAACAGTGATGAGGCAGCCATGTTGATGGATGTCGGAAGCAAGGCGATATCCAAGAGCGTGGAGTAACATCGGGGGTGCCGAATGGTGCGGGAAATATATATATGTAAGAGATGCGGCCGGTCAGTTATGAATTCATAGCATCCATAGTTGTGCCAGGAAGAGGAAAAGCTGTCTCATAGCACAGCGGGCCGTACACGTTTGTCGACGAGCTGCAGATGTGCGGTGGACATACTGCTGGCACTAGCGGAGGTGAGGCGCCGCGAGCAAGTCCGTTGCTCGCCCCGAGGACAAGACGTCAAGTGATAGTAGCACGTACTTTTTATCGAGCTCGAGCAGAGCTGGGGATGGCATTGTGCGAGAGAGCGGGGTGAGACAGCAACGTCGAGCGAGGAGGAGCATCGTTGTCTGTTCTCACACGTGCTGCTTTAACGGCCCGTGTACAGTGTACAGTACCCGTAGGGACTGGCGCGGATAGAGCTTACCGCGGTTTCCCACTGCGGATGATAATTTCCCACGGATACCATACCGCGGATGGAATTCTCACGGTTACCGCGGTTACGAAGCTAACTTTGAAAGGTAGCAAGTTCTCACAATGACTTGTATGTGATTACATAGTGTAAAGCATCACATTTGTGACTAAAGTCACATCATCAAACACATTTAGTATTAGTAACCCTTTTCTTTTTAACCGAACCGTGCTAAAAGCGTCCAACCGCGGTTTCTGCGGTTACCGTGGGAATTTCATCCGCGGATGGCTCTATCCGCGGTACGGATTGCGGAATCAATGCGGATTTCTGCGGCGGTAACCGTGCCAGTCCCTATGTAACTACCCTCTCTCCTCCCCACGGCCGCAGCCTCATGAAAGCCATCAAAGGTCAATACTTCATCGCACTGTCTCCCGGAAATATCTCTTACTCACGATCATCTCTAATATAGGCGTCTTGCTCACATGGTAATCAATTATACTGTCACACATTGGCGTTCCGTAGTCTGACTCGTGTCCTCACTCATACAGTGACGCAGCAGTCAAGCAGATCTTGCTCACACTCAACGAGAAACAGAGCTTCATCGTCGATGATCTAGATGATTTCCACGTTGTCATCAAGGCAGATATGGAGTTTAACGTCCGTAGACAGCTGGAGGCTGAGGTCAGCTATAATAATCGTTTTTCATCGATTTGTGCCTAATCATGCCATGCAAGCTCGAGAAAAATACATATAGTCTCGATCAGCAATGAGAAGTTGTCTGGCCGTAATCAGAATGAATTGGAATTTTGGCGAACAATGTAAGCTATGGCTACATACCACAGAGTCAATACTACCCTTCATTTAGTATGACGACGTGCGTTTCTCTTCCATTTGACTTCCAATAATCCATGAAACCTGTGATGAATAGCTTGTATTACTTCAACACATGACGCGAGGTGTGGTCATTGACTGCCCGCTTGCGAATGAAACGCACTTTGGTCTTTGGACCAATGCGTCAATCTTCTCTCTGAATACAGACTCCTTTTTTCCGCTTTATTTATCACATATCATATCATTTTATGCATGAAGTTTATTAACTGTGTTTTATTTGGACAGATTAAAGTGCCAGCGCTTATAATGCTCATTATTACATGACCACGTTCAACACACTTGTACAGGGTAGAGAAATAAATCATAGTATCTGAAGACAAGCCATGCCGACTACATACAACCCTTAATCACCTTCACCGCGACATTGGTCTACAGGTATCATCACGATGCCTCATGCCTGTTGGATGACATGGAACGCCCACGTAGCCTTTGGATCCGACTGCGATACAGCTGTCAAACAATGAGTATCAGAGAATAACCCATTTGAACAAAAACAAGGACGCCAACATACGTGATCCACCCGACCCAATACAGTTGTCGTTATTACACATCACCGCCGTCGAGTTACTCGCGTCCGCATGAATCTGCACCAGGGCATCGACATGATTCTGCGCGAAGTCTGCCTTGAATTGTTGTTTGTTGGCATCGAATCCGACGAAGTGTTTCGTTGAGGTTTGGCATTCGATGTTGACGTTGTCACCGCTACCACCCCAGCGATAGCGTTGGCCTTTGGCACCGTTGTTCGTGACTGCATCGAGGCTACGTATTCACTCAATATTAGAAACAGCAAAGGGAGAGGAAGAGGAAGAGGGGTAGGGACGGGGTTGACTGACTGACTGACCTTGATACGGTGGATGAGATCAACACCTTGTCCTTAGTGTCAAGGACTTCCAATTGACCATTCGTACCGTTCTGATAGAATACACGCCACTGAATAGAAAGTGTGAGTGTGAGAATCAGTCATTGACACTGAATGTTCCCGATGGATGGATGAGTGAATCGTGCACACCTGCAACTGAGCATGACCCGGGGCAATAGATAAAAGACTCGTAAACAGCGCGATGAAAGGGAGCGTGATTGAACGCATGGCGCTCAATACTAGGCTAGGACGTTGCTAGTTCCTCAAAGCGAAAAGGAAGATGCTACCTGGTAAATACTCGAGGAGAGTACTCTGTTTCCTTGTCTTGAATTTATTTACTTCTCTTCTCTTAGCAAAGTGTTGTTCTGCCAGTGTTGCGCGTCTTAGGATTATTGTACGTACATTACCACATTTCTATCATTTCAGGCACAATTTATCCATGTACGAGATCTTTTTGAAGTTGTCGGATTCTCTCAGACAACAAACTAAGATGATGTAACAGAACGTGGTAACATTAACTTTGCACACTACACTGAAATTCGCCCGGAGCAGGTCTCTGATTGGACGGGGAAATTGTTGCATAATATATTGTCGTAATTCTCATGATAATTTATGGGCTGTACGGCACTGTTATAAGTTCTAGCATACATATTATTACACGATACGTAAACACGTTGGTAACTATATGACGAAACCCATCTTGATGCATATTTGTGATGGGACAACGAAAAGGAGTTTCCTACAATATGCTTTAATGACTCTCGTCATTCTCGTCATTCTCATGTTGGCATCTGTTCATTGTATACGGAAAGGATACAAAGGATGTGGATTTCAAGGCACGGAATCAGTATTTAGCGTAATATAAACCGTTATTGGGGCGTTGTGATACGTTATGAGGAACAAAGCTTGTTCTTAGTTGTACCGAAAAGAGGTTATGGTGACGATATACTCTATAGAGCAAAATCACCAATAGATTATCTTCACAGTATAAATGGAGTTCTTCTCTGCTTGGAACAGAGTTAACCTGCACCTGTACTTAATGCTGGTCAGAACTCCCCCCTTCCATCGCAAAAAAGGCTAAGCTCTTGTTTGGTCATGTATGCCAGTAAATTATATAAAATTTGTGAATTATATACCTGTACATGTACCCCACTTCCAAAATGACATGCAACTACAAGATACTGCAAGAACTACAAGACTTATACAACATATATTTAATAAACAGTAAGATATGTCTTGTAGATAACTAAAAGTGTATGTATTCCTCCTCCAATATGACAATACAGTAATATTCTTCTAGATTTCTGTAATAGCTGGTAGATTCTTGTATGAACTTATAGGTATAATATACTACTGTAAGGCTAGCTCATATAATAAGCACCTTGTCACACCATTTATATATTTAAAATATAATATATTAAATAGCTAATATACATGTAATGCTATCTACAATTGGCACTGGTAGTAGGAGGAAGGTGGGTTGACGAATGCGAGTGAGGATGCGGATGGGCGTCGGAAAGAGTGTGAACGTGAGATGACTCCAACTCCACGTCGACGTCAATCGGATTCGGTGCGCTGCGCTGCTGCTGTTGCGGCTAGTTGTTTTCGTTGTTATTCGTTGTATTCGTCGATGAGAATGATGAAGTCGGCCAATTTGAGGTTGCGGCGTTCGCGTCGATAACAATGGCGATGCCGATAAGCAGAGCAAGTAGCGTAGCGATCGCAGGCGTGAGTCCGTGACGTTTGTTTAATGTGTCAAACAATGCGAGATGCCAGGGATGCAGGGTCGACGAGAAGAGAGTAGATGAGAGACGAAATCGCCAAATCGCCAAGTGACCAACAAACGAGTGGGCCCAATGAGCGATGATGGGCGTCGGATTAAGAACGGGTGAGAGCGCGAGAAAGACAAGCAATTCAGTTGACGACAAAGGGAAACACTCGGTGGTGGTAGATGTACAAAAAAAGAGACGCTCAGCGAGGCAAAGTTATGGTTAGACGAACGAAGGTAGGCAAGCAGTGCAGGGGTGAAGGGACGCAGGAAGAGAGAAAAAGAAGGAAGCACTGGCACCACAAGCACGGGACGTGCTCGGCACGGAGGAATGTAAATGCGTGCAGTGTGAGCCTATCGTGAGTGATGTCAAACATTGAACGAGTGGGGAAGGAGAATGCGTACGGAGTAAGAGAGGGTGGCATAATGGGAGTAGACGTACATGTACATTGTTGCGAGTGTGTGCTCATCGATTACAGTATTGCTTGCGCTGCACAGCAGAAAGGAGTACACAAATGCATAGAATTATTGAAGAAGTCGTTCGGCATTGATCAATAATGTAGATGCACAAATGCGAATGTAAAAAGGAAGGCGAACGTAAAAAAAGGACAACGAAGAAGAGGCGACGCAAGAGACAGAGCGAGGAGCGAGAGGGACAGAAGGCAGACAAAAAGTTGGGAGAAGGATGAGCAACTATTGTGCAGATTATCATGAAGTAGACTGGCTGCTTACGCTTTACGTTGAAGGACGGTGTAATCAGCTGGGTGGCATCGTCGTGGAACCTGAGGTTCAGCGCAGGCATCGCAACGGTAGATTGGAGAGACGAGGGCAGCAATGTTTATTGTCTGTGTTGTTGCAGGCGGAGTAGGGACTGCAGTGGAAACCATCCGTAGTTTTCTACAGATAACAAAAACCACGGATGAAATTCCCACGGTTACCGGATCATCCGTGGTTTTTGTGCCGCGGTTCAATTCCACTATCTACCAGTCACTGTTTTTTTTCGTTTCTAACTCATTCCACTGTAAATTATACAAAAAAAATTATATAACAAGTAATTTAGAGTATTACATGGGTATATTAACTAAAAATCATACAAGAATAAAGTTTTTTTATGCTTTTTCCTATAAATAAAAGTAAAAAGAAGATTAATTAAGTACTACCAGATTTCTTTGACTCAATAATATTAATTGCATCCTTGAAATGAGGAAATAGAGGAGTACCATCCCATGAACTGACTGCCATTTGAGCTCTAAAAGTGTCTGAAGAAGTATTGTGCTGCATAAAATTGATTTGACACTGTCTAATGGAAAATGCTTGTTCAGCATCAACCAACATAGCTATTATTAAAAATCAATGAAAAGTACAAAAAACTGTAAAAGAAAACTTACCTGGGGCAGAGCAATAATCAGATCCCATCCTAGCTAAGCTAGGCAGCCTTTGTTCACAAACATGCTAGTATTGTAATAAACCACCTAATCCATGAATAACAGATGACAGAACAGATGGTTCAGCAAGATAAACATGAATACTGTCATTCATTTCTTTGCCCATAGATGCTGTGCATGGTAGAAACCGAGACCTATGCTAAGGGAGCATGAGGAAGAAGAAATCCCAGTACAAAAAGGTTACACACTGGAAGTTGAGATGTATTATCTGATAGTAGTGAAGAAACAACTTAAAACTACTTGTATGACTCTTCCCAGTGTTTTATCACTAGATTCTGGATCTCCTGGACTTCATCTGTAGTAAATCCCTTCTTATAGAACCACTCTAACTTTTTGTCTGGAGACATGACTAAATACATTAGAGAATATTAGTATTATACATATTTCCTAACATTTTAATGTACATACCAATTGTAATCTAATAAACTTTACAGTCAGCTGTCAATGCATAATACTTTGTACAGACAAGAGTACCAGCATGTGTAGCAATCCATACAATAGGTGATAGGTTGTTACAGTTGCTAGTAGCCTTGAGAGCATTATAAACATCCTGTATTATTAGAATAATGTCTGTAACAAGTAGGACTTCTGCTTGTGAGAATAAAAGAGATAGTTCCTCAATAATCTAATGAAATTAATTAGTAAATAAGTATTAAGACAAAATAAAGTACTTACTAAAAGGACTTCATACAATTCTTTAGCAAGTAATAGCTGAGAGTTATTAAGAATGAAATACTGAAGTTTCAACTCTTGTTAACTAGTAAGCTTCTTAATAACAGAATACAATTAGAGATATACATTCAAACATACTAGATCAGAGTTCTATCAAGTAGAAACTTGTCAATCAAGTGTATGCTTAGTTCTAGTAATAGGAGATGTCTCCTTTCAAGCCTTAGTATTTATAAGATTATTAAATTTGTCCTTAAGTGATAGAGTATTGAAACTCCTGTAAAGTGTCTAAGAGAAGAACACAGGTGAATCATTAAGTTTGAGGGGGAGCTAAACCACAAGTCTTAGGAGACTAGAGTAGTTCTGAACAGGTGCAAGTTCTTCTAGCACAGTTGTAACCTTAGAAGAGAGATGTGAATAATGGAAAGTGTACTTTACAAAGTGTACAACAAACAATCTGATACAGAAAACAATAAAGACTAAGACTATGCCTTACACTAGAGGACTTTGAGACAAGAGACAAGAGCTAAATCAATGGGTGAACTATCTGAATTCCCCTTGTATCTAGTACATGAGTAGCTGTATTTATAGTTTTTCCAAGTTCTGGAAAAGTATAGTACTAACAGGGAAATGTTATGACTGAACAAAAGAAAAATAACAAAATATACAAGAACAAATAAGAGAACCTTTTGCCAGAGGTTGGAAGAAAATAGGGTGAAAATGTATGAGGAAAATTTAAGTGGTCTACATTCTAGCTACAGGAAATGTTATACAAAAGGGAAAAGCAAGATTTACATTGAAAGAAGTAGAAGGTTCTCATACTATTATTATCTGATCAGTACAGACAAAGTGTAGAGAGTTCTAAGATTTCTAGCAGTCTCCTGAGATCAACACTTTAATTGCCCTAATGTCTTATCTAATTAGAAGATTGTAGTACTTTGATCTGAGTAATAATGATGTAATAGTTTGCTGAGCCACTCACTGTGACACAACTTGTGTTCTAAGCCTGTAATAAGTATGTGATCTGTACATCCTGTAGAGAAAACAATGTGTGTAAGTTAATTCTAAGACTATACATACTTACAGTTCTGTTTGCAAATACTTGTAATACAGAATAGTTGAGTGTTCTTAGAGTAGGCTTCTATGAGTCATGTAGGTGTTCAGAATTGATCACTATGATTGTCTGTATACAATGTACAGTTCTTAGTGTGATACTAATTGTTTCATCTCCTAATGTGTCTACTTGTGACTGTCTACAGTCACATGGTTGATTTAATAATTAGTAGACTGAATGTAAGTTCTGTGTGTGTGTAAACATTGTCACTTATTCTTCCTGCTTCCTTTCATCACTCTCACCATGTTATTACTACTCTCTAGCAAATCTGACAGTAAGTGTTATACTCTTTTCTACTTTTTTTATACTAATTTTATAATTTTCCTTAGAAATTGTGTGTACAACAATGTAGTAGCTAGTAAGGGAATAGACATAGATAACAAGTTAGTCAAACATACACTCAGTAAGTACCTCTATAAAGTGTATTGTCTCTGACTCATATACTAATATACTCTATAGGTTCTGACACAGAAAACAAACTAAAGGACAAGGTTGTAAAGGAGGAAACTAATAGATTGACTATAAATCCTGAGTCTGAAGACAAAGAGAGCTTAGACAATAACACTCACAATAACAATGATTCAGAGGGTAAGAAGGTTTTGTCTGTACTAGTAGAGAGTCAATCTAGTAATAAGTCTCTTATTTCCTGTTTTCTAATCTATCTACTAACACAAAACATTTTATAGATTGTAAGGTAATAGTAGAGGAGCTCACAAAAGTAAAGGAGGACAAGACTACTACTAGAGTGAAAGTAAAGGTAGAGGCTGAGAAAGTAATACAGGCTAAGGTTAAGAAAGAGACTTAGACTAAAGTAAAGAAGGAGAAGGAGAGAGGAAAGGAGAAAGAGAAAGAAAAGGAGAGAGAGAAGGAGAAGGAGAAGGAGAAGGAGAAGGAGAAGGAGAAGGAGAAGGAGAAGGAGAAGGAGAAGGAGAAGGAGAAGGAGAAGACTATAGTCTTAGTGTAGTTAGTAACAAAGTAGAAGGATAGGAAGGAAAAGGAGGGGTCTAAAAGTATGTGTAAGATATACTCACTTTACTAGTCCTAATTCTTAGGAATAGTAACAGAATAGAGTATAGAGGGTAAGACTTGTAGACTTGTATAATGAGAGGGTAGAGGAGTCCTACTTTAGTCAAGCTACAAGTATAGTCTAGTAGGTTAGTAGTAGAGTACTTTCAAGTACTAGGTAACTTAAGTTAATAAAACTATCTTTTAAGGGCCAAACTAGCCTCCTTATATACCTTTTATTAGAGTAATGTTACTCTAGTAACTTTAGTAACTCCCTTTACTATTGTTCCTATAAAGTAGAGTTGGCTAATCCTTTAGACTGTGTACTATACTAGTTTGTGTCTTCTATTAATCTACTAACACTAGTTTGTGTCTTCTTGTATTCTAGATTAATCTTCTAATAACTCCTTTACTGTATTGTTATGTCTTCTATACTTCCTCTCATACTTCTAATGACTCCTTATGAGTCCTCCTAACTAGTTATACTGTGTAAGCTGTATAATACTTTTCCTATAAAGTAGAGCTCTCTATTGTTCTTATAACTCTGTCTAACTCAACCTGTACTTTCTGTACACTAGTTTGTAATACACTTTTCTTATAAGGTAGAGTATTATAACTTCTAATAACTCCTTATGACTTCTGTAATATAAAAGGCTATACTTCTGTACTGCCTCTAGAACTTACAACCAAAGTTCTAGACTGTCTTGTGTACACTCTAGAACTGACAACTAATGTTCTAGATCTTTCCCTAAGTCTTCTTTAATAGACTTAGTTTAGAAGACAATTATTCTTATTAACTTCTAGCCTTATTTTTATACTTCTGTATTCAATCATAGAACTTACAACCAAAGTTCTAGATTGCCTCATGTATTCCTTATGTTGTCCTTATATAGTTCTTATGTTTATAACTTTATTACTTTCCTATCTATATAGGTAAAGTGTATAAAGGAGACTAATTTTCTGTAGTCTCTCCTTAGAGCTCTCAGTTCCCTTTCCTTCACTAGTACTAGTCCTCCTCAAGCATAAAGCTACAGAGTATTAGCTCTGACTCTTTCCTAGCTTTAATAGTCCTTTGTCTTTGTACAAAGTGTTTCTAGCTAACTATGTAGTAAGTAAGTATAATATTTTCCTTTTATCTCTTCAGGTTTTCTCCTAGTCTTTTCCTTTATACTTCTTACTCTAGACACTATACTCTTTCTAGATCCCCTCTCTATACAAGCATTCTAAATGACTTGTCTTTAGTTGAGGTTATCAAGTAATACTGTACTAGAGTATGTGTTTAACCTTAGAGAGATAAAGACCTTGTCCTCAGGTTTTGTTACCTTTTCCTAACTGACTTGGTACCTACTCCTTCCTGTCCCCTCTCTCTGCTAATGGATTGATCACCCATTAGTAATGATTAGAGGTTAATAATGCTGAGCTAGAGTTCTTACTAAGTAGGACAACAAAGGTAGCCTAGTTGATCTGGCCAATCTCTAGACTTGTGACTAATAGGGTTTTGTATATAAACTACTCAGTCCCAAGTCTTGAGTTAAGCTTTTCCAAACTTAGTTACTGTATTTTACAATTCCTAACAGTATGTGTACAAGTATGACTAACAAATTGTACACTACTAATGTTGTCTTTGCCTAGTTTCTAAAGAAGTTGTAAAACTAGAAAAGAAAAAGCTAGTCACAGAGAAAGAGAAGGTTAATGTAAGAAGAGAATGGAAGGAGAAACAAGTTATAGTTAGTAAGTACAAGTATGACTAACAAATCATACTAAGCTGAAACAATGTTTCTCCTAGTTCCTTAAGTGGTTACAAAGCCAGAAAAGAAGAAAGAGGACAAAAGTAAGGGAAAAGGTAATATGGATGAGGGGTAATTGATTTTCTAAGTATACTGACTCCATTTTGTTGTTTAGAGCTAGTACTAGTACTCTTAAGTAAGAAGTACACTATTGTAGAGGTGGAGATTCTAGTCTCTAGTAAGGAAATGTGTACAAAAAACCAGAAGGTTGTAGTAGAGTCTTTAAGTAAGGAGGATAAGGATATCCCTCTAGATTAGGTAGAGAGAATGGTCTTCTACACACCTGAGTGTGTAAAGTGTGTAGAGAGGCACAAGAGTTCTTAGGGATCCACTTGTCAGACTGTAATAGATTGGCTGTGTTATAGTAATCTGAGTAAGTCTGTTTCAATCTTATTT